TTAGACTGGTGAACTCTGGGACCTATTGTTGTCAGTAGTCAGACTTGGGAACGCTGGAGCCCGTTATTGTTAGTAGTTAGACTGGTGAACTCAGGAACCTATTGTTGTCAGTAGTTAGACTGGTGAACTCTGGAGACCATTATTGTCAGTTGTCAGACTGGTGATCACTTTAGCCCATTTTTGTCAGTAGTCAGACTGGTGAGGTCAGGAGACCATTATTGCCAGTAGTAATACTCGGCTTACGCCTGGGTGGGGATTATTTAACAGCTTTAGTCCTCGCCCGAGATGACCAGACTTCATGTTAAGATTCTATTAGTCACTTCTAGGATACAACATATAACAACTAGTAAGAATCAATGCTATGTCTTCACAGGAGCAGCAATGACGTCACGGTCAGCTTGATGACCAAAGTTATGTTCATATGAGGATAAAAAGAAAACAAATTATAAATCAAATATATTTATGAAAGGACAAGTAGAACAACAATCATCCCATACAGTGAGGATATGACAGAGAAATCTCAAACCTTGGGTTGAGACTTTTGATGTCAAGCCATCTGCTTCAAAGCGTTCTAGGGTAAGACAATGTAAATCTATCATCAATCAGGTTGATTTTTTTCTGTAATACCATCACTTTATGGAAAAATGCTATCTATAATACATTGTCGCTTAGCTTGTACAATTCTGACATCGTGCTATTTTTTACTTTAATTTTCCGGTATTTGATTACCTAAAGCTTCAAATTTATACATTATCATTCACCTGATTTTATTGTAACTATTTGACACCAGTGATGCATTGATTGCATCTTTTAAACAAGAGGCCCAGAGGGCCTGTATCGCTCACCTAAATATGTTTAAAATAATTGGTATGAAGTAAAGATATATCACTCCATGGTAGGTGCTGTAAGTACATATGAAATTTCAGAAAGATCCATCCAGTACTTGAGACATAGTGAGAATAAACCTCACACAGAGCCCCACTCCTATGCCCCTAGGGGGGTCATACCAACCAATTATACAAAATTAAGTCCCCTTGGCCAAGGATACTCCAGTCTAAATAAGGATAAAATTCCTTAATCCTGATGGTCGAAGAAGGATTTTAAAGGTCTTACCTCTATTTCTCTTATTGGGCCCCACCCATCTGCCCCCTGGGAGACCACACCCACTGCTTATACAAAATTGAGTCCCCTTGGCCCAAGGATGCTCCAGACTAAATTAGGCTAAAATCCTTTAATCCCTATGGAAGAAGAAGGAGTATAAAGGTTTTACTTATATTTCCCCTATTGGGCCCCACACCCACTGTTTATACAAAATTGGTTCCCCTTCACCCAAGGATGCTTCATATCAAATTTGGACAAAATCCTGTCATTCGTACAGAAGAAGGTATTTGAAGAATTTGCTATGTTTCCCCTATTGCATGGGCCCCTCCCTTCCGCCCCCATGGGGGCCAGGCTCGCTGTTTATACAAAATTGAGTCCCTTTTGCCCAAGGATGCTCCAGACTAAATTAGGATAAAATCCTTTAATCCCTATGGAAGAAGAAGGATTATAAAGGTTTTACTTATATTTCCCCTATTGGGCCCCACACCCACTGTTTATACAAAATTGGTTCCCCTTCACCCAAGAATGCTTCAGACCGAATATGAAACAAATCCTTTCATTCCTTCAGTAGAAGTAAGATATTAAAGAACTTGCTATATTTCCCCTATAAGGCTCAGCCCCCAGGGGAGCCACACCCACCATTTATACAAAATTGGTTCCCATTTACCCCAAGGATGCTCCACACCAAATATGGACCAAATCCTTTCATTCCTTCAGAAGAAGGTTTTCAAAGAAGAATTTGCTATATAACCCCTATCTGACCCCGCCCCTCTTGCCCCCAGGGGGGCCAGACCCATCATTTATACAAAATTGAGTCCCCTTGGCCTAAGGATACTCCAGACCAAATTTAGTCAAAATCTACTTGGCCGTTCAGGACTAGTAGCGTTGTAAAGGAAAAGTTGACGGACAGACGCCGGACGCTGCAGTATGACATAAGCTCACCTGGTCCGAAAAACGTTAAATTAACTAGCGTAAGATGTTCTTCCAATCAACTGATATGGGCTACCTGCGAAGTTATATTTTGAAACTTTATTTGCTATTTTCAAAGAGATTTTGGTTATTAAATGACCCCAAATGTAAAATTCTGTGTCATCCTTCGTGCATAAGATATGTTTTGCAGATAGAGCAGAGAAACAGACACAGCTATCGAAGCTTTCGGTCAGTGTTAATGGCACAAAATTAATGTGCAAAGTTAAACCATGCACAGTTAGATAGTGCATGACCAGAAATGAATGCTTTTACAAAAGAACATAAAATATGGAGAGGTTCCCTACAGTGTATGTTTAAGATTGTTACATTGTCAAGATGTCCTGTTTTTATCATTTTGGCCCAGTCTCTGATAATATGATATCATAATCAAACTTCATCACAGGTATCCCATTATCTTCCTTAGCACTGGGGGTGTAGCTACACACCCGGTGGTGAACAGTTTCTGATATCTGGTTGTAATGACATCAGCAATGAGTTTAATAAGATGAAGTTATATTCTATAGGATCCACCACACTAGGTTTCTTTGTTTCTTACTGAATGTTTAAACAGTATTATCCAAGACATTACCACTAAAACCAAGTAATAACTAGAACAAGTATTAAAACGTACTGCTCTTTTGAGTCATTTATTTGGTAAAAATATTTATGTTAAAGAATTTGGTTCCAATACTGAGATATAATAGAGTTAATGACATCACATAGTGAGTGAATAACAGATGTAGTCATGAAACAAAGAGATGAGAAAGCAGGTATGTTTTATACCGTAATACCACCCTACCAAGGTAGGGTTTACACAAAAACTGACCTTCGTCAAGACAGACATACCAATTCAGGAAACTCAACCACAACAATCTTTTTCATGAAGTTTTAAATAGTGTGTTCAATGATAAAATTGGTTGTTAAGTAAGCTTGTTTGGAACCATACATAGGAAGAACTTTACTATCAATATTACAACCGATTTTGTACTGAGATTATAACAACCAACGTCACATTTCTTCAAATCCATAGCAAGAGAAAAAGTGTTTAAAAATGTTTCTTGCCTGATCCCTTACAATATCACTTGCCCTTATGTACTAGGTACATACACAGATTGGTTAAGGTGTGTGTTTTACACAAGACCATAAATAGGAATGTGAACCAATGGATTGTGTAACTGGTCAAGAGGACATGAATGTTGCACTGTATTTGCCAGTTCCAGGCACAGACTGACACACGTCAAATCCACAGGCACGGACCGACACACATCAATCCACAGACACAGACCGACGCACATCAGTTCAGGGCACAGTCCGACGCACGTCAGTTCAGGGCACAGACCGACGCACGTCAATTCAGGGCACATACCGACACACGACAGTTCATGGCACAGACCGACACACGTCAGTCCACCACAAGGACTAAGATAGGTCAGTCTATCCTTGTAGGACAAGTCAGTACAGCATATAGACTAGGACACAGTACAACTGTCGCACAGTTTTGGACATGTCAGTACATGGACTGGAACACAGTCCTACTGTCACACAGATTGGGACATGTCAGTACATGGACTTGGACACAGTCCTACTGTCCCACAGATTTGGACATGTCGGTACATGGACTTAGACACACAGATTGGGACATGTCAGTACATGGACTGGGACACAGTCCTACTGTCACACAGATTGGGACATGTCAGTACAGGGACTTGGACACACAGTCCTACTGTCACACAGATAGGGACATGTCAGTACATGGACTTGGACACAGTCCTACTGTCACACAGATTGGGACCTGTCAGTACATGGACTTGGACATAGTCCTACTGTCACACAGATTGGGACATGTCAGTACGTGGACTTGGACACAGTCCTACTGTCACACAGATTGGGACATGTCAGTACATGGACTTGGACACAGTCAATCTGTCACACAGATTGGGACATGTCAGTACATGGATTGGACACATAGTCCTACTGTCATACAGTTTTGGACATGTCAGTACATGGACTTGGACACATAGTCCTACTGTCACACAGATTGGGACATGTCAGTTCATGGACTTGGACACAGTCCTACTGTAACACAGATTGGGACATGTCAGTACGTGGACTTGGACACAGTCCTACTGTCGCACAGATTGGGACATGTCAGTACTTGGACTTGGACACAGTACTACTGTCACACAGATTGGGACATGTCAGTACTTGGACTTGGACACAGTACTACTGTCACACAGATTGGGACATGTCAGTACATGGATTGGACACATAGTCCTACTGTCATACAGTTTTGGACATGTCAGTACATGTACTTGGACACATAGTCCTACTGTCACACAGATTGGGACATGTCAGTATTTGGACTTGGACACAGTCCTACTGTCACACAGATTGGGACCTGTCAGTACATGGACTTGGACATAGTCCTACTGTCACACAGATTGGGACATGTCAGTACTTGGACTTGGACACAGTACTACTGTCACACAGATTGGGACATGTCAGTATTTGGACTTGGACACAGTCCTACTGTCACACAGATTGGGCCATGTCAGTACGTGGACTTGGACACAGTCCTACTGTAACACAGATTGGGACCTGTCAGTACGTGGACTTGGACACAGTCCTACTGTAACACAGATTGGGACATGTCAGTACATGGACTTTGACACAGTCCTACTGTCACACAGATGGGGACATGTCAGTACATGGACTTGGACACAGTCCTACTTTCACACAGAATGGGACATGTCAGTACATGGACTTGGACACAGTCCTACTGTAACACAGATTGGGACATGTCAGTACATGGACATACATACTAAAACATGTCAATCTGCCACACCGACGAATCCAGATCTCAAGTTGTTGATTGTTGATGAAAATAATGATGCTGACGAATATTTCATAAGCTACTGGTTTTATGTCTGGATGAGGCTTCAAGAGACAGCAAATTTCATTGTTTATATCTCACCAGTAATACATCTTGGAATCTCAGAGAAATTATTATTGACACATCTGTAAGATAAGCACATGCTCTTAATGAGTGGAAGTTTGCAGTAAAGTCCAATACAAGATTATGTGTAACAACACTGTCCAATACAAGATTATGTATAACAACACTGGTAACTCATACCAATGATAAGTAGGACTGGACATATGATGACATGATTAAAATGTACATATATCAAATGAGATTGTTATTTGTTTAACAAAAAGCACTTCTTTTTAAAAATCTTTAAATCTATACAAGAATGATCAATCTATCATTTATAATACTTTACAACAAAAAATTCTGTAATAAACTAATGTAATCATGACAATATCTGATGATTGACGAAACACATACAAATGAATTGATGGTCGAAGACACTCCACAACCAAAAATGTTCAAATACCCTTCATCGCTCTCCATACCTTCTGTATAATGATCAGTTAAGTAGACTATTTACAATATAAACACATACTTTCACACATCACATTATTGACATAAACAATTCACTTTCACACATCAAATATTCGCGTTTTCAACAAAATATTCAAGAATGGATAAAAAATATACTAATCCTGTCAAAAAGTTGACGAATCAAAATACAAAAGCTAAAACCTTTCCTTTCAGGAAAATGATCCCCCATGTTTCACCCTGATCACATCCGATAACTTAATACCTAGCACAGCCTTGCAATGATATTATCATTACAGTTAGAAGTTAACATTTAGAGTCGAGAATTAATAAAAACGTTCAACATAATATAGATTCCATCTACTGTTTGGTAAGGAAAACCTACTTCCATCATATCCAAGCTAGAGACTAAAAGTGGAGAGGACATAGTGAAAAATAATAAGGAAAGCCTTCCAAACAGTACTGTCATTTGAACATTTTAAAGATATATCAATATTTAGAAAATATAGAATACTTTCAAAAATTTAAGATAAAGAGATACAACAGAGACAAGAAATAGTACAGAAAACCACAGAAATACAATATCAGAATTTAATTACACATCCCCATATCAACATATAGTGTTATAAATCTAGAGAAAAAATACATCTTTCAGCCATTAAATTCTGAGTGACCCTTCCCACCCTTCTTCCACTGCCATTGCAAGAGTGAGTTGAACAGGGAAGCTAGAAGAACCTATCTAATATCACTGGGCCCACTTGTATAAAACATCTGAAAGGTAAGGAAAATCTCGAGCAATGTATTGTCTATGGGTAATCTTAGACTTGAGGAAATCTCAAGATTTGAAATGTTTTATACAAGTGGGCCCTGGTCACTGGGTATTAGCCGAGGGGTAGCTTGATTACTGGTCATTGGGGATTAGCTGAGGTGTAGCTTAATTACTGGTCATTGGGTATTAGCTGATTTTGAGCTTGCTTACTGGTCACTGGGTATTAGCGGAGGTGGAGGTTGATTACTGGTCATTGGGTATTAGCTGAGGTGTAGCTTGATTACTGGTCACTGGGTATTAGCCGAGGTGTAGCTTGATTACTGGTCATTGCTGTCAAATGTTTATGCATGTGTTTATTCCAATATGAAAAGAGTAATTTTAGACATGTGTGTACCGCTCTTTCCTGAACACTTGACTGTCATTAATCATGTCTTCTCCAGAACTCTCATTGACTACCCTCAATGATGGAAAATGGTTTAGTGTGGAAAAGTTTCTCAAGAAACAATAATAAAATGTTTGCTGTTATCATATTATGTATGCGTCACCTGAATCAATTTAGATTTCCCCCCAAAAAACTGCACCACTTAACTACCAGTAGATAAACCTAAACACCAGTTTGGCAAATACTGAGACCCTATATGTTCTACACTTGCATTGCTTTTATTGACATTAAAAGTGTATTCAGCATAGTATCAAGGGCAAGAAGATTTGTCTACCAAGATATACTCTGTAAAGAGGAAGACATTTATCATTGAACTGTTAACTTTTTCATCTTTTGGTAAAAATAAACTCTCTGTTCATGAACTGGAAGAGAAACATAGACAGAATTACATATACACAAAGGCCGCTTTCATTTATCGCAATCCATGCGGTTGAACCGGTTGGACCAGAGTTGTTCGTTTTTAATATAATAAGGTTAGACCTAGTAATCTGATGGTGCTTTCAGGCGAGCCTTGACAAAGCCTTTCAAGGCCTGCATAAATATTTGCAGGTCCACCAGGATTTATACCCGAAAATGTTACATTTAAGGACAGACAAACCTGTTGTTCCGCATAAACGAACAGGCCATAGAAAAATAGATGATGACAGCAATGTTGAGCATTGATCCAGATGGTGAAGGCTAAATGAACACAGGTATCTAACCAATACCTATGGTATTACATCACAGTTAGCACCATCAAGAAACTTTTCTCATGCAATATTCACAGGACTGTACAGTACCAATATACTTACTATGAGTTCTAATCCCCTCCCTTCTCAATATTTCCCTCTCCCCACCCTCAATATTCTATAATGGTAAGTTGAATGGCAGAAAGTAGACAGCAGTTTAAATTAAAATGCCAAAAAAGTTATATGCACATAATGTGACTCCAAGGATTTCCAAACCAATACACTTCTAAAATAACTTCATAATTTTCACACAAAAAAATCAATTTTCATAATTTTCACTGTATTGTCAGAATGTGTGACAAAATGATGTTTTATTACAAATTTGTTCAATAACTTTTTTAAGATAAGGCAACATTTTGTTTATCTTTGACTTCAATGTGCACCCTATGTCTTTACCTTGGGTAGCATCCTGAACAAAAGATATGATATGGTACTGTAATCTGACTTCCATCTTCTGTCCTAGAAGGACAGACAACAAAAGCATGAAAAGGATCACATTGCAAAGTGTAAATGGAAAATCACAAAATTGACACCACCCTCTATACCTGACTAATCCAAAGTAGTTAGTGCAATTTTGAGTCAATGAACTCAAATGCTCTTTTTATAGCCATAAGGATCTTAGAAAAGTTTGAACTTCCAAAGGATTATGTCCATGAAAATGCCTGCAAAGTTTCATGGCAATCAGATAGGAAATGTAATCTGTTGAGCAATGATGCCAAAATCCTATTTGGTGACATTGTTTTCAACTTAAGAAAGTTGAAACGAGAACTCGTACAAGAGTAGGTGTTTGTGAACAGGTTCATGAAGTTCCATGACAACCAGGAAAGAAATGTAGGCTGTAGATCAATGACATTGTTGAGGATAAAACATACATGAGGGCAGATCCCTGAATTCCTTTGATGACTCTTGCACGGGTATAAAAAAGGGGGTTTTGCATGGTTTTAAGGTAAATGGTACCACTGCCTTAGTTACATAGCTAAGCAAATTTCAATATCAGAGTTTTTCTTTACTCAAAGTATTCTATCTAATACTTCAAAGACAAAGCATTTTTTCCCCTTCAATAGGTCCATCTTTCATTTTGATGCTGTGCATTTACAAATCTTGGATAGCAACAATGTAATTTCTGGTTGTTGTTTTCTTGTTTGTTTTCCAAATACTAAAATCTCAAGCCAATTTTATTATGCAAAATGCATTGCAAGATCTGTTTTAGTTGTAAACCATCTGAAGTATTGACTAATTCATAACAGTGCTTATATTTATGTATTTGATAACTAACCTGATGGCAGTAATTAAATTCGAAAATTGGTAACTAATTTTTCCTTAATCCTATAATTCTACTGTTTTCTCCCCTGCAGCTTCAAAAACAATTTTGTCAAGAATATGTCTTTTTTATTAAAATATGCAAGATTTACTTCCCTTGAACAATTTTTTATCACAGCTGTAGGTGATTTTATGATAAATATTTATCTAAGTCTCATCATAACTCATCACCAAAAAATTCTAGGATTTATTAATTTCGATTCAGATTCAGGTCATGACAACAATTTATAAAACATTAAATCTTAGTTACAATGCTTCAGGCATGTTTTCTGAAGTTTTGAAAGTAGGCCGTATTGATCAGTGTTTTGTGTCTTAAGTAATCTACCTATTGAGGCACACAGTGAAATACTCCAATCCTGTATCTAAATAAATCGTAAAAGCCACTCTATCATAGATCTAGGTCCCCATACATACAGAATCCTGGCATTATATAACTGATTCTTATACAATTTGTAATTCATGCGGTATTTCATGTAATTACTCATAAAATACCCACCATCAAACTAGAAAAAATTCAGACACCAGAGCAAGGATTCATTTCAACAAGATGTACTGAAGACTGTCCATCTTACTTCACAATTTAAAATTCTTAAAAACACACATTTTCAAGTAATGAATGTGATCTTAACCTTTGACTTCATAAAAAGCCCAGTGCAAGACTAGCTCTTGATATTTTCAATTAACTGGGAAGCCGCATGGCTAGTCTTGTATTTTCCATTACAGTTTTCACAACAAATCTTTCCGAATTCACATGCTATAATAATTTATCTGTTTACAGACTGGGTAAGACTATTCCTTCTACTATGCTGCCTAAACTTGAGAGTAGAATCTCCAGTTGGTTGTATCAGGAATCATTTGGCATCGTTTCACGTGATGTTTGATCATGTTTGTCTCGCCATTGGTGTTCAAACAAAGATTGTCAATAACATGTTGATCGGATATTTAGAAGGTTCAGAATCGGGAATGAGAATGTGATCATCAACACCACACATAAGGTGTTATGTAACATAATTATCAATAATAAAGAGTATCTTGTTAGACAAGAAGTTAATTCAGTATCATCCCCACCAATAATAAACTGAAGAAGCATCAGTGCTTCTGTATTGCATTACACTGTGCATTGTTAGCTCCATAACTACTGTATACTTGGAAATTTTTGCCCGGTCAAACTTTCGCCCTTCCCTGGTCAAATCCATATTCGTACAGTTTTTATTTCGCCCTTCCCATTTAATGACCATGTCTAGTATGTTGTTTACTAATAATGATCACTTACTAGTAAATGATAAATTCGCTCTCAATAGGGAAGGCGAAAAAAGGCGAAAATTAAACTACAGCTTAAATTTCCCGGTATAAAGTTTTTATATAAACAGTTACCAAGATATATTGACCTTGTCTTTATATCTAATCATTTACTGATAAATCAGTATTAAAACTTATATTATTTCTTTGATTTGCTGATGCTTAAAGCAGAGCAGACCATTCAATATATGTGTACATACTATCACAGAAGTCGTGATTGGCCCTATTCAACATGTGTCGGTGTACTCTCCTTAACAACATAAAACAATCCTGATCATATCGATTAAGTACTTTACAAGTTTAACACACAAGTTTCACAAGTAATAACACACAAATTTGACACTAATATCATTGTCAGTTCCAACAATCTGAGGAAAAATAACAAATGTTTTAAAAGAAAATAGCAATCTATAGAGAAATGATAGACATGATGTGGCTGATGAGTAAAATTTGACATTAAAAGTGAGCAAGATATAACATGGGTATTTATATATAATATATATCAAATATACATTTGAACAATGATTGATACCTATACAAAATCTATTTGTACAAAAAAATGTATATGACAATATTTCTTAACATGTTCAACTTTTCACACACATACAAATGAATTCTATATATATAGTGGACAGTGTGGATGGCACCCAGCAAACATATATGGTACATGTACAAAACATACATGTATTTACCAGGGTCTCGCTGCTCAAAGCCCCATCACGTCTTCTTTACTCATTTTATATGTTCAAACATGATTGGATGAGAGCTAACATAATATACATAGTTTTCCCCTGCTGTTGACGGCTTCCAGCAGCCAGACCCTGGGAATAACATTGTCCTCACTGTCAATTAGTACAAGACGGATAATGAGATTGCACATGCCTCAAACAGTAAATTGGGACCACAGCATTGGTCCATTTTGCCCATAGGATAAAAACTAACTCATACGACACAACTTACAGGGTTCAGCACCATATGGGCAATCAAACCTTCAGCATAAACTACCAAATGGGCAACCATTACCCACAAGGAACAGAAAGATTGAGCTCATCACACCTTTATAAGGTAAAGTACCATGGAGATCACACCTTTATAAGGTAAAGTACCATGGAGATCACACCTTACATAGTCAAGTACCATGGAGATCACACCTTACATAGTAAAGTACCATGGAGATCACATCTTACATAGTCAAGTCCCATGGAGATCACCCCTTACATAGTCAAGTACCATGGAGATCACACCTTACATAGTAAAGTACCATGGAGATCACATCTTACATAGTCAAATACCATGGAGATCACATCTTACATAGTCAAGTACCATGGAGATCTCACCTTACATAGTCAAGTACCATGGAGATCACACCTTACATAGTCAAGTGCCATGGAGATCACATCTTACATAGTCAAGTACCATGGAGATCACATCTTACATTGCAAGGTACCATGGAGATCACACCTCATAAGGTAAGGTACCATGGAGATCACACCTTACATAGCAAGGTACCATGAAGATCACACCCTATAGGGTAAATTACCATGGATATCACATCCATAAGGTAAGTTACCATGCAGATAACACCTTACATAGTCAAGTACCATGGAGATCACACCTTACATAGTCAAGTACCATGGAGATCACATCTTACATTGCAAGGTACCATTGAGATCACACCTCATAAGGTAAGTTACCATGCAGATAACACCTTACATAGCAAGGTACCATGGAGATCACAACTCATAAGGTAAGGTACCATGGAGATCACACCTTACATAGCAAGATACCATGGAGATCACACCTTACATAGTGAGATACCATGGAGATCACACCTTACATAGTAAGATACCATGGAGATCACACCTCATAAGGTTATCAAGCCTTAAATTGTAGGATACCATTGATATTATCATGACTTATATGGTAGGATACCATTGATATTATCAGGACTTATATGGTAGAATACCATGGATATTACCACACTTTATATAGTAAGATACCATGGAGATCGCATCTTACAAGGTAAGGTACCATTGAGATTATTTCACCTTATAAGGCTGGTTACCATAGAGATCATCACACCTTATAAGGTAGGGTATCATGCAGATGATGAGAATATTATCACATACACCCAATTCTCAAGACAGTACTTGGTCAAACAAATTCCTATGTAAGACAGAGATTCCAGTTGGATATTTTCTGTATTGATGGGAGCATGAATGATAAAACAATTTACTAAAATAAAAAGAAGTTGAATCTGATCTCTACATTATCACATGGTAATACAATGCACAGAAAAAGTGGTTAACAATTTTCCAAACAATACATATTTGTTTACCCACTTGAATCTCATTGTGCACTAATATGGTAATTCATTGCTGGTTTAAAGCAAAAAGTAGCACTAACATAAAATATTATTTTCGTAGCTTATATCCAACATTTTATCAATAAAATAAATGTATATTGTTGTTTATTTCTTGTAGAATCATTTCGAACCTCGACATGCTTTGTCCTTCCCTTCTGTTCACCGGACAACAAATGAAAAATGTAAGACTAATAAAACGACACATTGGTGTTCGGAAACCAGTGGTCTGCATACCCCTCCACTGTCCGTCACATATGTGGCAGATCCAGCTCTTTCGGGGAAAACAAAAGAATATCCTTCAAATAATTTGTAGCTTATATTAATTCAAGACCCAGCTAAAAAAAATATACATGAAATGTACCAACAATGTCCGTATAACCAGAAATTACTGAAATTGTCCAGAAAAACAATGTTCTTACAATCATTTCTTCATGTTTTAGAACTGTATCTACTGGTTAGGTCTACATAGTTAGGTCATATTACATGACATAAGGTACCATTTCACAAGACGTTTATTTTCATCAAAAGCATCAATGGAATCATGATTGGCACAGACAGTAGTCATTATTGCACTGGTATATTGGCACCTCCACAACAACCCACCCTTTTAACAAACTCCAGAACATACACATATATTTACCACCAACACACACCTAGCTGCCCCATGATCAACAGACACAAGCCTTCACATTTGTACAACAATCAATATGGTAAAACCTTTAGCAGTAGTTAAAACCATACTTGAGGAATAAAACTGTTTAACAGATACATGTAAGTTAAAAAGATCCCTTGGTTAAAACTCCTTTTCAGAGTAAACAGTGAAAAGAATTGTGTCCTCTGGATGTGTCTGGTATAGACAGAATGACAACTATTGCTCTGTATGTGTCCAGTACTCTGTCTTATGTATACAAGTCTAACCTCACTGATAAAACTACTCACTGACTTTTAATTGTTCTAGTATCTCAAACGCTGATGTTAATTCAGTCAATACTGGTTATAATTCCTCTTTTCTTCAATCAGACTTAAACATTAATCTTACCATCTTGTAAGTTCTACAATTATGGTAATTATCATATGATAACAATATATAACAAAGACCTGAACTTCATTCCTAGCTGAACACTGCTCAACAGAACTTGTGTTCGAAAACACTCAGATCAGTATTGCACTTTGTTTAATATGTCGCAAAGTCAACAAAATTACAACAAGAAAAACCCAACAGTATAACAATATAAACTTTTGTTTTGCCCTCTCTTTTAAGCTTACTATCATCAGAGAGATGTATGCCTCTAATCTTTAAACAAGACCAACATGATACACAGCACCTAGAGTACTGCTTAATAAACAAAACAATTTCACTTTCCTATCATTTGAACAATAAAAGCCAGAGCACCCTGTAGATATACCGACCATACACACACAGATTGCCAAACGAACAACACACGACACAATATCATTAGATATCAGGAATCTTAGGCTCTTCGACCCTTTCAGCCTTACACTGAAGCATCTTTACAATTTAAAACTGGTAGGATGCACATAAAGTTTACATGTAAATGTATATGATCACTTAATTTCCTGCCTACACCAGTGCAGTAATGAGTAAACATTGTCTTTCAGGACATTTTTGGTCGAGTTATAGACAAATTCACATTATAATGTCTCTAATTTCACATATGAATTCTTTTTTTTTACATATACAATTTTTTCTTTCCACTTAAAGTATTGTTTTAAATTTGAAAACAAAAAATTGACAAAAGCCATTTAAAAATTTCAAATTAATATTTTCTTTCTGTAACAATCATAATAAATCTTTCATTTAAATTTTTTAAAGTACTATTTTTAACATTGAGTAAAAATCTCACTTTTTTTAAAAGGAAACAATATACCATACTATTAACAGACAAAACAACATTTTTGATCAACAGTAAAACACTTAGGAGTTAGAATCAACCCAATCACATAGCCATAGAAAATCACAGACTTGGAAAGCCCCCGAACCAGAATAGCTCCGTATCGGAAAATCCGGTGGATGGCACAGAGCGAGCATGCATGTCCTCCAGCGGACACACAGCCAGGGTTATAGTATAGGTCTCCCAGTGTGTATGAGCTGCCATTATGTAACTGATGATCCGAGGAAAGCCCTACAGCAGAAACGGGGTTATCTGAAGCACCATATGGGAAGGGACACACTATCAGCCATTTGTTGAGCCAGTCGGCAGAATTGTTTTAATTGTCAGTTCCATATTGTTTGGCTTGGGTTGTTTTCTGTCAGCCTCTGCCAGTCTATGAATCTTCATATGAGCACTACGACTTTTCACTTTAGGAAACACTCTGAAATTGAAAAGAGCTGTTGAGCACTGAGGTACAAAAATGATAACCATATAGCTGTGGTATCTACAACTCCCTATTCAAGCCGAGACCACAATTTAAACATTACTGCTATTTCTTTTTTCTGGTTCAATAAATTTTAATCTACTATCATACTCTCATCTCACAACAGTATAATTTTTGTAACAGATGGCATAAAAAAAAGAAATGTTCCACACTTATTACCTCAATTGATTTTTTAATAAATATTACACGACAGTGTCTATGCCTTATCCTTTTGATTTACTGACCTTCCACACAGTTTACAGGGGAACACCTCTGAACCGTCTGCAGGTAAAGGTGCAGGTACAGTTTTGATGGGGAGAGGGTTAGGCTTGGGTCTGCCAGGCCCTCTGTTCTCTATGCTGCGATTCGAGGCAGGAGAAGAATGTTTAGAGCTACCATGAATTCTCCCATGAGCATTCAAGGCCTGCTTTGAACCAAATGCCTAAAACATCAAAACAGTCCACAGAATTTCATTAGAAAACAAGGTTCATATATATCTAGTTCAGTTACCAAACACTAGCCAGAGCTTTGAACTGTACCACATAAAACTATACTTTTCCATGATGATAATCAATATTAAAGCAATGCCACAATGATTTAAACTTCAGCACTTGCTTATTCTGGATATGGAGATCAATAATTTGTACAGTACATTGTTTTTTTTCTCTGTCCTATTTTGATCTATTCCTCGACACTTGTGATCATTATGACAAACACATTAATCCTAGCTACAGACGAATCCTTTCACTTGACACCTACAATTTACTGAAGCATACAATCAGAGAGAACACTATCTGGTATGTAGTAAATACATCTTACAGCTGTACACTCCGGGTATTCACAGGGAAACATAGGAACTGGGGAGGATCGGACAGACGAACTGGATAGTTGTTCCTCCTCCTTGTCTAGAGGGTCAGCTGTGTCCCGTGAGGAGCTGGAGTCCGAGTCGCTGTCTTCCTCATCCGTCACCTGTGTCAGCCCACTTTGCTGCTGCTCCTGCTGCTGCTGGCGTGTCCGTAAGTTATACAACTGGTCCTGTTCCCGTTTACGCCGCACCACTCGCAAACGCTTGTGTTCATCAGGGCACACTTTCTTCCATAGGTAGTAAAACTGCACACAATCACCAGTCGATTTGGTCTCCACCTATCAAAAATGTCATAGGTGTACAAAGACACATGGAGGGAATATCCCAAAACAAAGTATATCACATCAACAATACCTAAACACCTTGAACACAGTTAGATAGCTTATTTGAATATGCAAATTAATTTGGTATCCATCTAGCAAACAGAAATTATATACCAAAACAAAGTTTGAAAATCTGAAATTTGGTTTAAAAACAAAATATATACAGTTAATGTATTAAATGTAATCAACAAGTCAGTGTATGAGACAGTATACAAGTAATGTCCAAAAAACTTATGTAAAGTTACAAGTCCTGGAATTTTGAAAGGCACTAATTAACATGTACATTTCAAAGTCATATTGAAGCAATTGAAATTTATATAGTCCTTTGTAATTATTATCATGCCTCTTGTTATAAATACACAAAGCAACTTTATACAACCATAAACAGATCAATTTTATACCTCTTTAGAGATTCTGTGGAAGTCTTTGTCACATTTCATCAGTGCCTGCTGATAGCGATCAACTTCCTCTGTAGACCAAACTTCTGATTCTAAAAAAGAATGTGTAAAACGCATACAAATGCTAATCCTTGCATTTGTTTTATATTGTATCATGATCGATGTACTTTTTATAAAGAAAAGTTAAACAAGTGTTGGCCTGAATAAGCACAGAAAATGTCCAAACCTCCAAGGACTGCATAAGACTGTTCTGTGAAAACATACCTTGATATACAGTGGAACCCACTTATTATGATATTGGTTATTATGATATATTGCTTATTATGATATTTTTCCCATGTACAGATTTTTTCCTCCTTTAACTAAGAATAACAAGAGGCCCAATGGGCCTGAAATGCTCACCTGGTATTAACCTCACACTTGTAATCTTAAAAGTGGACTAAAATACAACTACAGGCAGAATATCAGTGTTGGATTCACGAGAACCTATTAAAAGAGTTAAACATATGATGCCTGTGACCTTAAATGTCGAACAAGGAAATTAGGTTGAAAGTGGGTCAAGGTCATTCATTTGAACAAAATAGGTAGTCCTTCATCCCAGCATGCTACAGGTCCAATATCATCACCCTAGGCATCTCGGTTATTCAGAAGAAGTTGTTTAAAGGTTTTAAACATATTTGACCCCTGTGACCTTGAATATAAATCAAGGTCATTTATTTGAACAAACTTGGTAGCCCTTCATCCCAGCATGTTACTGGCCAAATTTCATCACCCTAGGCCTTTTGGTTACTGAGAAGAAGTTGTTTAAAAGAAAAAGTTAATGCCGGACGTCGGATGCTGCACCATGCCATAAGCTCACAAAAAATTGTTTATGATGTTATGGTCAAATGTGGGACCTCGCTTATTACGATATATATTTTTCTGTCTTGAATGGATTTTATAAGGTAAAATCTCAGGTAAGTTGTCCGTGTGAAACACCTGGATAATTAAACAATAGGTCCGGCTAACTGTACAGCGCCTTAGGTGATCACCTGTCCACTCCAGGTAAATTTTTCACACCTCGCTTAACCCCTGTCAGCAGATAACAATAGATCGACCATCGCTTGCTGGTCATACATATTAGTCTTAACAAAACATATGGTGCAGTTAATTGCTATCTAAAATACACTGTAGGACTGTGTATCAAATAACTGAAATGATTAGACCTAAGCCTACTGACATTTTCTAACACAAATTCCGATAAGAAAACGAGCATGCCTTTCACAAATACATGGATACCTTGATACATGTCATGTTGAAAAAGCGTCAAAATCGGGACAAACCGCCCTAACACCATGGTGCCAGAAATCGATCCAAAGTTAACGTTATTGTCATAAACAATTGACGATGGCATGTCTTATATACAATTTACACATAATTTTCGTTAAATACAATATTTGATTATAAAGATAGTTCTCAGGAATATCATGATATTTTTCTCTGGCAAATAGAATATCATAATAAGTGGGTTCCACTGTACTGGAAACTGATAAGTAAGAACCTTCCTTAAATTGTGTGGGACTTCTCTGTTGGAACGTATCTTGATTAACCACACTAATTTGTGAAAGTTACTGCTTTGATATGTTTAAGACTTATTTGTGAGAACATATCTTGTGTAAGATTGATTTGTGAGAACTTTACCTCGATATGTGCGAGACTGCTTTATGAGAACTGTACCTTAATATACATCCTCAATGCTCCAGGTGTTGCTCTCTTACGCTCTCTGCACCCCTGGAATATGTCACAGCAGAATGGGAGGCACACAGCTAGCTATTTGATTGGTCTCGTGTAAAAAAAAACCTGACCAATCACTAGACTGATACCTGTCCTTTGAAGATTACAGAAGAGCGACATCCGATTTCAAAGCCAGTAAGTTTTACCGTTAACCGACCGAGAGATTCTTTTGATGTACATCAAAGGATCAAACTAGTCTTCTCGTCTCATCAACAAGGCGGTGCACACTGAGCCTTCAATTTTGCTATGACATATTCCAGGGGGAGCAATACCTTTATTTTATACATGTAATACTGATGTGGGAGAACATACCTTGATATGTGTAAGAATGTAGACTGTGCCATCGTGGTACCCTGAGGGCTGAACTCATCAACATCAACATAGCTGTCTGTAAAATAGAAACAAATCTGTTTTACTGGCATGTATCTACATAACTACAAGTTGAATTTCATATTCAATGTACCGAAATCTACAAGTTCTACTGATTTGATTGTCTTGTTGTTCCACTTCAATCCATGTGTTTGTTGATTAACTTTATTTCATTGGATCCATTACCATCTAATCCTAAATGCAACAAAGAAGCTTGAAAATAAAAAGTTAACAACACACAAATTTACCTGAATGTTACCATTAGCCATTCGTAACAAATGTAAAGCATATTCCACATTGGCACCGTTTCCCTTCACAGCTGATGAGCAGGCAAATTCCTGATAATATTGCACTGGAAAAAAACAGGGAAACATCCTTTGTACTACATGTCAACATATAGTGCAATGTAACAAAAATTACCTAGACATTAGACATTTTTTTTTCTATTTCACTGCAAGTGAACTGGTATATTGTCAATAAATGACATATCATGATTTTAAAGAGAGAGTAGTTATTTGAACTATTTATGTACATACAGTAGCAATATTCAATTTCATCTACTTTCCTGTTTAAACAGATTCTCAACTCTCATTCACTACAGGTGATCAGTTCATCTTACCATCTAGGTCACTGTTGTCCCCTAAAAACGAAGGATCCCACATCAAATCTTCTTTTGGCTCTACCCCCTCTAAGTAAGATCTACAGCCTGAAAACACCAAACATGTTTTAAAACTAAAATCACCTACAAAAATATATTAACAAAATATTGCAGAATTGCCAACATGTAATAATAAGTGATATTTTTTGATGTAATAAATCAGATTTAGTGTGTGGTGGAAAAATATTGTAGTGAGAAAAGTGTACTTACTGTTGAAGGGGGGTATTTCTACCTGATACTGAGATCCTATGTTGACATGACTGAAAAATATAAACATTCCATTGATATATTTTTTCTTGATTACACAAATTCGTTGCAACTTATTTAACAGAATATTGGATCCAAGAAAATGGTAAAACTAAGGTCTATGATGTTCATTTTCTATCATATAATTTTAATGTATTATATTGCATGAAATGATACTTTTACCGAGTTTATACATTTTACTGTGCATATATACATTCATAGTTTCAAGGACACAACCGAATTATTAAGGCAAATACAAATTCAGGGTCACTCCATAATTAATCGTATGGGGGAGGTAGGGGGCACCTGTATTAAGATATTATGGGTGGTGGGGTTAAAACAAGATCTGCCTCCCATTTTTTATTTTTAAGAAGACTCTCAAGAAGTGCCTCCCTTCCCTCCCCTATAATTAATTCTGGTAAAACCCTCAGCAAAATAAGAAGATATAACTAACTGAAAATTTCACATATCAGCTATTTAACTGCAAAACTTTGTCTCAACAAATTTGTGAAACCTGGATAACAAAGCAACCATGGGAAATTATTCTTATTATTACATAAAATCCCTCCAATGGTACAGATGAAGAAAGATTTAAACCTCGAATTGCCCCATTGGGCCCCCAACTCTCAGCACCCAGAGGGTTCTCACCCTTCGTTTATACAAAATTTAGTCCCCATGATCCAGGCTAAATTGGGATAAAATTCATTCATTCTTATGGCAGAAGAAGGATTTCAAGGGTTTTTACCTTTATTCTCCTTATTGGGCCCTGCAACTCTAGATCTCCCCACAGGAGGGCCAAACCTAACATTTATACAAAACTGAGTCCCCTTAGCCCACGCATGCACAAATTGGGATGAAATCCCTTAATCTCTATTGTAGAAGAAGAATTTTAAAGGTTTTCCCTCTATTTCCCCGATTGGGTCCTAAGCCACTGCCCCTAGGAGAGCCACACCTAGTACTGTTTATACAAAATCAAGTCCCCTTGGCCCAAGGATGCTCCAGACCAAATTAGGAATAAATCCCTTCATCCCTACGGTAGTAGAAGGATTTTAATGGTTTTACCTCTATTTTCCCTTTTCCGCCCCACCACTCTGCCCCCAGTGGGGCCACACCAACTATTTATACAAATTGAGTCCCCTTGGCCCAAGCATGCTCCATACCAAATTAGGATGAAACCCCTTAAACCCTTCAGTAGAAGAAGGATTTTATAGGTCTTACCTCTATTTCCCCTATTAGGCCCCACCCCTCTGCCCCCAGAGGGGCCACACCAACCATTTATACAAAATTGAGTCCCCTTGGCCCAAGGTTGCTCTAGACAAAATTGGGATGAAATCCTTTAATCCCTATGGTAGGACAACAATTTTTCAGGTTTACCTCAATTTTCCCTATTCTGCCCAACCCCTCTGCTCCCAGGGGGGCCACACCAACCGTTTATACAAAACTGAGACCCCTTGGTCCAAGGTTGCTCCAGTCCAAATTTGGATGAAATCCCTTAATCCCTACGGTTGAAGAAGGATTTTAAAGGTTTTACCTCTATTTCCCCTATTGGGCCCCACCCCTCCCCTTCGGGCAGGTGAAAACCATGAAGGAAAGATCAACAAAGGTTTGATTTTGTATAGGACAAAGATTGTGGTATATGACATGGACTACTTACGGTTGTACATCTGTTTCAGGTGCTGCCTCCTCTGACTCTTGCGGGATGGGAACCTCCTCATCATCTTCCTCCTCCATCTTCATCACTGGATCAAAATGACCTATACAGTAAACAAAATGTTCTGCTTTTAGCAAGTCAAAATGACTTACATGAAACAAACAAAATAGCACATATTAAAACAAAACTGATGACCAACACTGTCAACAAATTAGTGGTATCTAAGTCAAGTGAACTGTTTAATCACAAAATGTGTACCATATACACAAAAAATAGAAGTCAATTTAACATTATGTGATGGATATGCAATGATTTGAAAGTACAACTCACCTAAACTTCCTCTGCTGCTCATGCCCAGCTGGAGTGACCTGGGGGTGACAGGTGCAGACTTGGGAGTGACTGGCTTGTACATACTCCAGAACAGACCTGATCCACTGCGAATAGGACTGAGCATGGGAGGGGGCGTGTACGGTGGGGGAGTATTACCTCTCCCCTCTATATGAGGGTTGATGCGGGGAGACCTGAGCCTGCTCTGGAAGCCACAGTTATTCATGTGAGGAGGTATAAACAGTGGAGCTGGCCGATGCTTCCTTTTCAACTTGATGGGACTAGATAAACTATTTGGATTTCTAAACAGTCCGGCACCATCTGATTTTGAAAACGGGCTGCCCCAGTATTCTTCCGATTTTGATTTCATTCTCCACAGTGAGTCCTCTGTACGACTCCGTGGTCGCATGAATGTGTGATCCTCACTATTGGCCCGCATGAGGTTGTAGTCGTCACCCGATTTACTCCGCATGCGAGGCCGTGCGTGACTGTCTGTTTTGACATGAGGGCCACTGGACGGTGTGTGTTTGACATATGTTATAGGTGTTGATCCCTTAGACCCAATATTATGCTGATTACCTGAAGAAAAAGACTTCTTCAAAAGTTCTACTTCACTACCTACTGAAAGTCTTCGTTTAAGTTCTTGGTGTCGATTCTGAATTGATTTGGTTTCAGATTTTGTATTTAAACTATTGTCTATGTTGAGCTGTTGTTGAACTGAATCTCCAGGAAGTCCTAAGATGCCCTCAAAATGCCCTCCTGGGTTGAGATGACCCCCCATGCTGCCTGGCAAACTGCCTTCTATGTTGTTACCACTGAAAGAGTCTATGGTTGGGAATGAAAACGGATTACTGTCAGCTGCCTTGGATTCTGTATGCAATGACCTATTAGACAATTGTTCCATGATCTCCTGTTTGAGCCGTTCTGCAGCACTATCCAGATCTATGGTGGCACCTGCACCACTGTGTAGACTACTTGGAGCATGTGACACCACGAAGCTGTTGGACATTGAGGTGTTGTCCAGCGTGGGTGTGACCACTAGGTTGTTCTCCTCCTTGATGGTGGAGGGAAGTGTTGACATGTTGGGCTGGCCACCAAGGGGAGACAGACCTGCTATACCCCCGACTAGGCCAGCTGACGTTGTTGTGTGGCTGCGGAACACAGTCCCCACTGGGTCCTGTATACCATCTATGCCATTGAGTAACTGAGCAACAGAGAGTTCGGGATTGTCTGCAGCAGTTGTGACAAGTGTAACCTGACCAGCAGAGAGATGGCTTGGTGACACAAAAGATGTCTGTGTTTGTGGCAGCACATCCTGATGAGGATTGGAAGTCTGAAGTGTGAACTGTGGGATTTGAGCAATAGCGGATTGGAGGTTTGACTGTATTGACATGGAGCTGAGACTGACAGGGGGCGGAGAGTGTAGTTGCTGTAACACACACTGTTGTTGCTGCTGCTGTTGTTGTTGAGAGGTCATACTGAGCTGCTCTGCAAGCTGACCTATGTCCATCTGCTGGATAATGTCACGAGGACCCTGCTGCTGCTGACGGGCCAGCTGCTGAAGGTGATGCTGTGCAGACATGCGAGAGGGGATGTCCTGGATCTGCTGGGGAGGGGACTGGAACTGGTAGTCCAGGGATTCCACAGACACCTGTCTTTGTAGCAGGGGAGACTGTGGCACCTACAACATTGAAGCCATTATAATATAATGTGACAAGAATAAATTGAACTTTCATTTTTTGAAAAACATTAGGAAAGAGCAGTTAATTGCAGGTAAGGAAGTCATCAAAATAAATTCTGATGATATTAGCAGCGACATCACGCTTTAATTCTCTAAAGAGAATATTCTCATACTTTATCAATAATGAAGTTTAGAAAAGAAATCCCTAGAGAGATGCTAACATGCATATGAACAATATTACAATATTAAACATTTTCTATGTGACCTCTGGACTATAAAGGTATATATTATAAACTATTACTATTATTATTGAGATTGGCTTATTGAAACAATTAACAGACATGATCTTTCAAGTATGTATCTTGCCCAAATTCAAAACATACTCTCCCAAGGAATCCATGGGAGATTTATTCCCTTGCCATGGGGACCCAGTGGGAACCCTGAATTAGTAAACATGCCTGGGGAGATTGTGGTACAGAGCCTGATTGGCTGTGTTGTTGGTGCTGTTGTAGAATGTCCTGGAACTGCTGCTGTTGCTGCTGAAGCTGACTTTGTTGCTGTTGCTGCTTGAGATGCTGGTCCTCCAGTTGTTTGAGCTTGGTCTGCTGTATCTGTTGCTCAAGATGGTGAGTTAGCTGCTGTTTTTCTATCTGTAACTGTTGGATCTGTTGTTGTAACACTAACTGCTGCTTCTGAAATTAAAGAAATTACCAGAAATTAACAGTGATCCTAATGTTCTGGTCAATTTATCATCCTGCTTTCACATTATACACGGAAAATTGAAGAAAGGAAAATTTATCATCCAGCGAGTGTTCTATCCGAAAGATTCTTTTTTGGCAATAGTATAAGACTCTTTCATGCACAGTGGTGTAGGATAACGAAATACCACCCAAGGGGTTTTGGCAAATTTGAAAATCCTGAGGGTGGAATTTCCCTACACCCTTGGGCATGGATGAGTATTTTTCTCTCATTCCAGCCACCAGAATAAGCTCAGAAACCATGAAAATGCGTTTGGACTGGCCACCATTTTGAAACATTGTTGAGCCATTGTGACGTCACGTCACGTGAAATGGGGTGTAAGATAGAAATTTTCTACACCCCTTTCTTACCCTGGACACCTCTATCTAACACACAGGGAAATGAGAGAAATATGAATACACATTAATGTTTGTTTTATATTTGTCATTTTGTAACTACCAGTACATATGATGCCTGCTGTAGCTATCTAAATAGTACAGGACACCATGGCCAGCTGTAATTATCTTGACTGTACATGTATGCATTACATGCTGTAATGACTGTAACTGTACATGTATGTGATACATGTTGTAACGACTGTAACTGTACATGTATGTGATACATGCTGTAACTGTACATGTATGCAATACAAGCTGGAACGACTGTAACTGTACATGTATGCGATGACTGGTGTAACGACTGTAACTGTACATGTATGTGATACATGTTGTAACGACTGTAACTGTACATGTATGCGATGAATGGTGTAACGACTGTAACTGTACATGTATGCGATAAATGCTGTAACGACTGTAACTGTACCTGTATGTGTTACATGCTGTAAAGACCGTAACTGTACATGTATGTGATATATGCTGTAACTACTGCTGTAAAATACCTGCTGAAACGACTCTTGTTGTTGGTGGTTCTGCTGTTCAAGGTGCTGCTGCAGCTGGTGTTGCTCCATTTGTATCTGCTGTATCTGTTGCTGTAACTGTTGCTGCAGCTGCTGCTCCTGCTGCTGTAACTGCTGAAGCTGAATCTGTTGTTCCTGTAATAATTTAAGTACAGGGTTTGAGTGTAAAGATATGTGATATGAAAATATCACTGCTAATTTGTAGTGTGGAGCTTTATGCCTTCTTACTGTAAAATCATGAAAGTTTTGGGGGTCAAATTTCATGGTTTTTGTAAGGGAGTTTCTTTGGATTTTTCTTTTTTTATTTTGTGGCATTATCTTTATTTCCTTTACTTTTCGCATTAAAAAAATGTATGAAATTCTGAACAAAATTGATACCTTTTACCATCAAATTTTGTTTTATTTTAACATCATGTTTTATAGTGCACTGGATTTAAGCTTCAAATGCATCAATCAGTGATCAATGAATACATACATGCATGGAAAGTCTGTAAATGTGCAAGTATGGTCTAAATAAAGCAGGAGAATTGTACTGGATGAGGCTTTATAACCAAGGACAATCTCTTCACCGGGAAGTGAACTAAAGGCTTACACAGGTATGTCATGACCTTCAGGATAGTCTGATATGACAAACGTGAAAGTCTAAGGGTGTACAATTTTATATTTCAAATACTAGCCTGCTGGAGATTTTGCAAAATTCTGTAAGCCAAGCCTATATTTATTTACTTTTTGTAAAAATTCTCACCAGCCCTGCCATAAAATCAACCAAGTAACTGTTTCTGACCCGATTAATTTACACTAGTTGTATTTCGTTTAGTTTTTCTTATGCAAAATAATATTACTGTCAATTTTCTAGGACAACAGGTATAGGGTTTCTATGATTATTAATCCACCTACAGGAGAAATCATAAAGCTTATTGTTCTTTACGAGTCCCATCATCTGCCATAAAATCAATAACAATTTAGAATATTTCTACAGGTCATCGCCGGTGATGGTATAACAAAGCACATTGGATATATAAGTTCTTAAAGAGTCCCATAATTTATTAACAGCATGCCTATATACCTACAGCCAGGAGTGTAAAGCATCAACATCATGCCATGGTCTAAAAAAGTTGAGGATTAAAACACAGTTCTGACATTTCAGATACTGTACTCTAAATATATCACAGTGCAGCATGCAGCTGGACCAAGCAGGTTAATATCAATACATTGCAACATGCATTTACATCAGTCACTGAAAACCAATTTTGATTCTTTTCTTTTTGTTTTCTCAGATAATTATGGAAATATACCAAATTTCAACGGACTAGCCAGCAACTTTTTATTAAACATCAATCTGAATTTTATTTCCATATTTCTTTATTTGTCAGTCGGATGAAAAATGAGTCCAATCCGGCACTGGGGTTATTGTGATATGAATAAAAAGGGTTCTTTATCCGAATCTCTTCTATCAACTTAACTAGATCAAGCTAATCAGGCTATTGATGCACAAAGTCTGTTTAGCTAAAATCACATTAATGGCATTCAACGATTACAGTCTAATGCATGCAATAGATGTGGGTATTTACCGGGGAGGAATAGCAGGGTTCAAAATCAACTCTTTGTACTTTGCTACTCGCAAGATACAAGTTACAGTGAAATAAATGCAACTTAAAGTAAAAGTTAGCTCAAAAAAGATCTGAGAGTAACTTTTTTTTTTTCCACCTCTTCTTTAATCATTGACAACTTTCAATGTTGACTGTCAGTAAAATGGTGTTGTCATGTGTGGCAGTAGTCTTGCTGGTGGAGATCAGAAGGTTTTATGCCATTAAAAGCTTAGCTTGTTTCAGTACAAAGTACTGCTTAGTGCTAGCCCCTGATCATGACAGGATAACTGGAAATGAGACTTAACAGCAATGTTAGGCTGACCGTTGACTCCCCTCTCGTATGATTTCCCAAGTACAGTAAAGATCTTATCTAGGTCGAGTAAAAAACAATCAGTTTTCTCACTAACGGATAAAGAATTCAAGCGCACAACTATTTCCACAAGTATTCTGTCAATTAACTGATTCAGTTGAATATATTTCCACAAGTATTCTGTCAATTAACTGATTCAGTTGAATATAGTGACTTCTAAACAACTCAAATAAACAAAGATGATTAAGATACTCTGTAAAATTTCTACATCTTTACGGCAAATTTCTTTCACTTTTTATAACTTCAACTATCACATTCTATATATATGTACCCTATATGCTTTCACCAAACTAATTGTTATTTGAAATTAAAAAACCTCACAAGTTTCTTTTAAACAAACACCACAGTTAACTGTTACATGAGTTATCATAATTATAAGCTACTGTATGGTAAATCAAAGATTACAATCATTGAATTATATAATTTCAGGCATGACATTTTATACCTTCCATTACAGCAAAGATAATGTAATTGTATGAAAAATGTCCCTTACTACAGACACAAGGTGTTTTTTTATGGAAATAAAAGATTAGTATGATGGGATGAGTATTCAATGCAAACAGCAATGTTGATACATAGATATATATGCACAATGCTGGCATTTCAAAACAAGGGTGGCCACTGGCCAATACTCACACATGCAGGCTTAGCATCGGATTTAGTTTCCTGTTTAGACGGGGAAAAACACATAAATTCTAACTATAGGCGACTTTACTTTACAAAACAATCATGCAAAGCTTAAATATTGACATTTTAGGAAACAGGAACGGCACAGTTATTCATGCTCTGGCAGTAGTCCAAGACATTTATGTATAATAATCTTAAAATCTTAATATTACATGTAACTTATTTTGTACATCTTTGGGAAATTAAAGTAGGCAGGGAGGGAAGGTTATAAAACTATAAAAATGAATTATGTCAAAGATTCTGTAGAAACTGTTTATGATTAAGGTCATAAGGTCATGAAGTCAGTTATTGAGTTCTTAACGGCCCATCAATACAGAAGAGATCTTTAGGGCCAATAAAAGGTAAATCAAACTTGCAAAAAGAAATTATATCAAACAAACGAAAAGATACATGGTATAAGGATTTATAGGTTATGAAGATTTTATATAGCTTATCCTCAGCAAGCTACAGGGTAGATAGGATTATTTGCCCGGTGTTTTCCTAAGGTTTATATGTTTGTTCCAGAGACCCTGAACCTGAATTAAGGCAATAAGCATCAATCATACTGATTTTTTATTTTCTTTGTTCGACAGGAAATACCAGAATTTTAACAGTAATAGGACCAAATCCTTCGAGTAGCTCATCACAAAGACAGTAACTACTGTTATCACAATTTTATGGAAATCTAATGAAAAATTAAAGCATTGCAGTAATGAAAAGATTTTTGAACTTTGACTTTTGGTGTAAACTGCTGAAGCCCAAATCCATTCAAGCTACCATGGTCCTTTACCTCTGTAAGCGGTTTCATTGGTATCCCAGCACAAATCATTGCATTAGCATTTTAGCAACTTGGCAGTATTTCTGTTTTTAATTTAGTAATAATGCTTGTTATCTTAATCTTTGGTGTAAAATGCTGAAATGTGAACTTGTTCAATTTCCTTTGATATTTTCCCTCTTTATGAGATTTCATAGAAATTTGACCCTAAACAGAGATAGTAGAATCTATATTGTGCAATCCTGAATGGAGCTCTGTGAATGCCCTCAAGAATGAACCTGTGTCTACCCTAGAGTTTTGCACTATTAACTGAATCTTCCCTCATTTATTGACCAGTGACCTGTATATATATACACTTTAATACTGACTTGTGACTTGTATCTACAGCACTGAGCCATGACATGCATCTCATGACCTTTAACCTTATCTACAGTACTGATTGCAATTGGTGACTGATGATATGTACAAGTATTTGTGACATGTGTCTACCTTATTGACCTAAGACCTTTATTTACAGAACCGTCTTGCAGGGGTGTAAAAAACTTTTTCAAAGCACTTTCCCTGGGCAAGTTGACCTTAGAAATCCACTTGCCGGGAAAATATTTTCTATTTGCCCCATGTAAAATGCAAATTATATACATGTGTACAGACCAAAAACAGATTTTTCTAAATAAAAGGATTTTTCTTTTTTTCTCTCCCTATTTGCAATTGTCATATTATAAATCATTTACTATTTAATAGCAATGATGGATGTACATATATTTATCTTTCTTTTTTTTTTATTTGAAATTATTTACTTTTGAATATTCTTCAATTCCTGAAATCCGGGTTTGGATTTGTCTGGTTATTAGTCACGCCAAAGCAACTTCCTGTTTGTTAAACAGAGACGTTTTTCAGGCCAAAACGATGTTCTTCTGTAGTTAACTAGTACATATAATCATTCAATCCTATTTTATGTTTAAGCTGGAGTTTCAGCTATTTTCATTTGTCTTAAAGAATGTCTGAATTGATGGATAGCCCGCTAGTATTCTACTGGCAATTTTTTCCTCAAAACGAATATTAAAGTTGTATTTCGTGATTCTGTGTTTGTTTCATAATTGTTAGAATGTTTTAATTACAAAAACATCCAGTAATGTTTATTATTTATTTCGGGAACGGAGAAACACATGCAAAAACATATTTTATAAGCTATTCTAACGCACTTGCCTGGGGCAAGTTGGCAAAGTTTTTGCACTTGCCCGAGCGCCAAAACTGGTTGTCCCGGGCGTCGGGCAAGTGGATTTTTACATCCCTGTGTCTTGTGATGTGTGACTTGTATTTACAGAACCAACCCGTGACTTTTATCTACCCTACTGACCTATGACCTGTATTTACAGAACCATTTTGTGACATGTATTTGCCTTACTGACCTGTATCTGCTGCTGCTGTTGGTGCTGCTGGAGTTGCTGTATAACAGAGTGTGCAATGTCCAGAGGTGTGTCAGGAGTAGCCACAGGGGACTGCAGACTAGGGAATACAGGACCTGTTAAACCAATATCAGAACTCTTCATTTCTTAACTTGATTAAATGTTATTTAGTGGGGTAACTCAATGATACCTTATAGCATCTATCAAATGAGTTTCAATCAAATCGTTTATAACCTATTACCATATTTGACTGCTAATATAAAGACAACACTAGTAAATAAACCAAATTAAATCAAACTTTGACATATAATAGTCTCATCCAAAAATACATCTAGCTCTTTGAGAAAAACATGACTCTAGTGTGATATTGACCTAAATCCCATTAAATATCTTCAGTTTTGACCGAGAAGGCTAGAAGAAAGTTATTTGATTTTTTAGAGTGAATATACTGAAAACCCAAATAAATAACTGAAATATTTTCAACAGAGCAACATGGTTAAAGCTAACAGTGCAAGTTAAAAAGGTTTCAATTGAGATTTACAAAAATAAAAAAGTTTTTATCTGGTTTTGAGATCTTCCCATCTCTTCCGATTATTGTTTCTAAGGAAGTGCCGACATTTTAGTTTGTCCTTGCTTGGTAACGAGTATGGGTCACGCTGGGTATAAAAAACACATTACCCGTCAAACCGGTTATCATATGTTCAATATGTGCACAAGGTGACACTATACTTCTATACTATATTTAATAACACTTTCACAATTTTTTTTATCAACATTTTGTATCAGATCAGTTGAATAAAATTGAAATGAAACACTTCGAAGATAGCATTTATCTAGAAAAAGTGGAAATAGTAAAATACAATAAATTAAAATATCTAATGCACAATCCCTCCCCCAAAAAACGGCCCCAAAAAAAGCAAACATACGATAAACGCTAATGCCTACCTTTAAGATATCCAACTAGTTATAACCTCCTGTGTGAAGACAATACTAATTCCAATCATTTCCATGAGAACAGTTCAATTATCAAATTTCACATTGTTGATGACACACCTGGGAGTGTCGCATTGCGTGTTTTGCTAGTAAAGTGTCTACAGGACGAAGACTACAAATTCATAATAAAGTTTTCGTGTGTTTTCGTGTGTTGGTGCACATGAAAAAACGATGATATATATATGGGATTTATAGAAGTATTTTCAGAAATATACTTTTTATTTTGGGTACACAATTTCGAGAATGTGCCGTAAGTAACAACCAGCTTGGCAGTGTTTCAAAATGTTCAGGTGAGTGCGTCTGATTTTTTATATCGATTGCCAATCAGGGTGCGCGGTGCATTGAATCGCAAGACAGTCAGTTAAAGAATGATAACCGGTTTGACAGGTAATGCGTTTTTAAAACCCAGCGAGACCCATACTCGTTACCAAGCAAAGACAAACTCAAATGTCAGCACTTCCTTATAGTTGGAAGAGATGGGGAAGATCTCAAAACCAGAGCCAAAAATTGTTTTGAAAAAAATAAAAAATAAATGAATCTCAAATGAAAGCTTTTAAACTTGCACCGTCAGCTTTAATGAACACTTTTTAGACAATCTCAAGCACTTTTTTCAGCAAATTTCCAGCGCTTTCTCGAATTCTCAAGGTCCATGTTTTGTGAAAAAGGGGTCAAGATCATCTGTCTATAGTATACAAATACTATTACATAATTTTCAATACAACAGATTTTAAACAATGAATTCAAATTTTATAACTTTAACACAAAACTTTGAAAATGACTTCTTGGCAAATGGTTAAAACAGTTCTTGAAGAACACATACTGTTTCCAGTGTTTATATTCCAGCACTTCTGAAAGAATATTGAGCAAATTCCAGCACATTTCTAGGATACACATATTTTCCAGTAATTGTAAAGCACTGACCTCCTTTTTAGCTTTTTCATAGCCTATATAAGCTATGATAAATTGATACATTGCAGCCATGATAAATGAACACCTTAATACTGTAAACCTCTTATATTTTGCATTTTTCAATAGGTACTCTTTTTGCTACATTCATGGCCTAAACAAATACTCTAAGGACTGTTTCAGAAATGAATGGACAATGATTATTTATATTTTATGCACACCTGTTAACATTTAAGGATTGATCTGCATTTTGACGGCATATATGGTAGTATGAACGCAGTTGGCAACAAACATATTACATGATGTGCGTTAGCGTTAAATTAAGAACATGTTTGTTGCCAACTGCATTCATACTACCATATACACCGTCAAAATGAAGGTCAATCTTTATATTAACATCATAAATAATGTTCATATACTATACAAAGAAAAAACATTCAAACCGGGTTGCTACAGTGGTAACTACGGTAGTAGTACGATAGCCGTGGTTATTAGGACAAGAGATCCCAGAGGGATCTTGGTGCCCATCATTGTACCATCAGGCATCTTCATTAGTTATTTGTCAGTTCGATCTTTTCTCTTCTTTCCTCTAATCTGTTTGATCGAGTCATGTAAACAGTAAATGCACCTTGAGGTAACTTTTTATCTAAACTTAATACTGATGTGTATGAAAACCAACCTTCAAAGTGAGTTTGTCAATTCACATATTTACCAGTCAAGTACTTAATGTGAAAGAAATAGAATTGATCATTGCAATATGAGAAAGATCTGTTTAGTTCTTCCTTAAGCCATTTTGTTTTTATGATCAGTCTCAAATATAACATGCACAACGAGGGATCAAGGGGAACCTACATATCAAATTTGAGAAAGATCCCTCAAGTTATTCCTGAGAAATAGTACTAACAAACCTTCAATGTCAAAAATCGAAGACAGCTGTCGGTAGGCCATTTTGTTTAGCTGATCAGTTTCAAAAGTAAACATGAACATTAAAGGATAGTGGGGAATTAATTCTTTTGGGCGAGCAAAAAATTTGAAACACTGACCCAAATGACATATTGGTGGCCCAAATAATTTTGGGAAGAAATATTTCCACAGCATTTAACACAATGCTTCAGCACAAAGAAATACAAAAACTCGCACCTCAAAGATGACACCCTGACAGTATTTATATGGAAAATTTGAAAAAAAAATCATCTAAATCACGGACAATTTGATTCAAAACGGAGTAATGACAACTGAAAAATGTACTGCCCCCCAGTTAATTAATGTGGAAGGGACTATAATTTCTTTTATTCATTAATTTTTCGACAGACGCCCAAACTATTTTTGTTGGGCCAGTGACTACCTCACTTTGACAACTTTTGGTTGCCCGAGCAAGATTTTAATCGCCATTGGCGGGCAGGCGACCATCCATTTCAGGACGACGGACAGATCGACCACGGACCACGGACGCAGAGTGATTTGAATAGCCCACCTGGTGGGCTAATAATATAGTTCCATCGATATATGGGTAAATTTAGAAAATAAGCAGTTAACAACACTAATTTTCTTAACAAAGATATCCTTCTTTCACACGTCCACTTAATTGCATAGCGTATCTTAAAATCTACATGTGGATTGACCTTGTTTTATAACAAAATAACACGAAATAGTAATAGTCAGCATTTTAGTTTCTGTTCTGCACGTCCGGACCCCTCAATCTACACATTCCAAATATTCCTGAGGTCAGCCTTGGTTCAGATCTGCTCCTGTCATTTTCTTTTAGGTTCGACCGATTCAACTGGTTGAACCATATATGCGAAATGTGCCTTATTCTGAATTACAAGGGAAGTAACTCCTATTGAGTAATATCACTCTTGTTACGACATACGTATACATTACTCTGGCCCACTTATAAAACATAAATATTTATGAAAGTTTCCGCATTTACGTGTCCATACCTGCTGCCAGAGCAGTTACTGGTGGTGTGATGGTCTCTAAAGACTTCTGGAATGCCTGTGATATGGTCGGGAGAGAAATGTCTATTGGCTCTGAAGAAACCTTAGAAACCTTTGATCCCATCGAGGTACTATGTGCCTTCTTACTTTTCTTTTCTTCTTTATTGATATCCTTTAACACAATAAATGTTAACATTTCAAAAACAAAAACGTATCAAAATAATCCAGTTTATATTTAAACATCAAGGTAGGTTTGGGGTATTATATTTCTGTAAACATGGCCGTAAAACACTCCACTTTATACTATTCTTTTTAACCCCTGCATCAACTAACATTTATCATAGAACATAGTCCTTCAAACAGGAGACAAAAGATATGCAAAAATACACTAAGTTGTATCATAAGTTTGTAAGAGTTCCAGTGAAAATCTCAGCTTTTCAAAAGCAGACTGATGCTTTAACTTCAATCATTACCTTTACCTAAACGAAAGTCCTGAATGAGGTACTAGTATTCCATCTACAAATCTGTAAACAAGTTTTATATAATTATGGTGTAGGCAAGAGATCAACACAACAGGACAGATATGTTAAAACTAACTTTGTAGGGGATAGATATGGATAATATACAAATTCAGTCAATATATATTCATATATTATGACGACAAATACGAACGAATTCACTACCTTTTTGAAGTAACCTCCATGAAGTCTCATGTGGCCATTTAAGGCTGGAATATTCTTAAAACGTCGCTCACAAATACTACACACCACTGGTTTTGACGAGTCATCTCTGTGGATAAACAGATTGTATTTAGTATTAAAACACTTTTCTGCAAAACAGACAACCATGGTTTCAAAGGATTTTACAACCATTCAAATTTCTGTAAAAAATAGTATATATTTTAATATTACAATAACAGGTATTAACTCGATTACACCACTGTTACTGCTATTTTGATGTAGAACATCTTTTACAAAACACTGATGACTTCCCATCAAACAAGGCTTGATAAGAGCACTAGCTTCATAGGTGTACAAAACTTCCTGTAGACATCTTTAATGCAAACGGCTCCAATAGAGTGCTAGGTTGATGAGTGTACAAGTCAAATTTCAATTTGTGATTTATAATAGTTTTGAGATCACGCTTCAAAAACCTCAATTTTGTATAATTGCCTTTTTCCATGGCAACAGAAAAAGTTTTTCTTTTATCCAAAATGAGAACTCCTCCAGTAGCAAAATGCACCAAGAGAGTGCTGGCTTGTACAAAGTGTACAAAGTTTCAGGCAGTTCTTGAACAATTTTGTTGCCATGCTCTTGAAACCGAGAAATTTGCAATTTTGCCTAACTAGAGTGATAGGATGATAAGTGGACAAAGTTTCAGGTACATGTAGTTATCTGAAAGGTTTTCAAACTATACTCCGGGTTATAATTAGACTTGAGCTCTTTAAGAGGTAAAAGGCCTTGGAAAAAGAGAAACTATTTAGAATTTTTTTAATACTTTTTTTAAAATTAATTATTAGAAAAAAAATCACTTTTTTTACATGTGCACACATCCTTCCAGAATTTATTTGCTGTATATTTATTATTGTGGTGTGTTATATATACACCATAACTCTGCTTGAGGATACAATATGTGAGTCAACAATATATGTTTAACCTACCCGTTGATTTTGTCGTTGGTGATGGTGTTGGGGGTGAGAGGGTTTGAAGACCAGATGCGCTGGGGACTGGTAGGCCCTGGGTGGCTCATCACAGGGCTGATGGGGCTGACCTGCTGGAGATAGCTCGGCGACTGGTCCTCGATGGTACCCTGTGGACTGTGAGAATTGGACTGTTGCTCTGTCCCAGCTTGGTTTGCTGCTGCAGTAAGGATATGTTGAACCCGTTCTTGCCAATGCTGCACCTGTTGAGAGTCGACTGGCAGCCCCTCTGGGAGCCCCGAAGACTGGTGCTGTGCCACTACACGGGGCTGGATGGTGATCTGCTGGGGACGCTGAGAATCATCTGTGAGGTGAGGCTTAGGACAAATAAAGATATTTTCAAGACAACCAAGAATAAACATAAAACTTGGATACTGTCAGGTGAAATACCACTTAAATGAGCAAGATAGGAAACTAAAATTCTTTTTTTTCCAGATAAAACGTAACCTACATTAAGTATACACCAGCCAGACCAGTTGTACAGTATATAAGTGACAAAGCTGGCAACTGATGATGAAGTAGCAGTTTAATTCTAAACCAATAATTTAGTAATATGGTACAAATTGACCACCATTAACCAAATCTGTTTTGCACATTTAACTAGGCTTAACCATTTAATGCATTTTAAAGCATGCTAACCTGCTGCAATATAATGTCATGAGAAGTCTGTGCAGACAACGGCACTTGGTCAAACTGGAAGAATGCTGTCTGCTGTTGAGGGTTACCACTGTTGCTGTATGAGGGACTGGTCATTGGGGTGGAGTTGTTACTGTACTGGGGGGTGGAATACTGACTGGAACAGCCATTGCCATCCTGAGAGGAGTGGCTGTTACTTGCTCCAGATATCACTGACAAGGTTGAGGGCATGCTTTGTGTTTCTGTGGTAGTGGCTCTGAGTGAAGCTGTGTTGGAGGCTGCAGCAGCTGCTATTATGGCTGTCGCATTAGAGGCCACTGCTGCGATGGCCGTCTGGATCTGCTCGGGCGACTGATTGTGGTGATTCTCCAGGTGGCGTCGTAGAGAGCGTGCATCACAGTAACTCTTCTGGCAGCTGTCAACGTTACACTCGTATGGTTTTTTGTCACGATGAGTCATTAAGTGACCATTTCTGTGGAGATGACAACAAAAACACTCAGTACTTCATCATTAAATGTTATTATTTCATGGATAGCTACAATTTTGGTCTCTAAACCTAGTCATTGAATATAACAACTTATCAGTACTATTGAATTGTTTAACAAATTCCTGGTTTTCTACTTTCTGATATTTTAGACTTTTAAGCCTGCTTCTGCACTTGAATTTATAATTTTGTGGTGTGTTATAAAATTTAACATGCAGTTGTGATAATATTTTTGTATTTTCCACATGTTTTTTTGCATTTTGGAGTATCAGAAAATAAATTAATAAACAATCTGTAATCATTATAACTACCATGCTATCAATTTATGCTCTTAAATGCATAATGTTTGGATGTAATGTATGTTACAAGAATTTGTAATACAAGAGTGTCACAAGATTTTTTACCAAGTTGCCAAATTGGAAAAGCATGATATTGATGTGCCTTCAAACTTGCTGGTAGTGGATCCCGAGAACTGGTAGTGGATCCCGAGAACACTGATTGATCAATGAACTCCAAAACATCTTTTTTTTAAACATCAGTGCAGTATTACACTGTAACCTTTTTTGTCATAGAATCTTATAGGATTTTCCCATTTCCTATGAGATTAATGCATATGGTGTGCCTGGAAGGTTTTATTTAGAGAGTCTCAGTCAAGCAAGAAAGAAGACTTTGGGACAAGGTTAATAAATTTTAGTTAAAGAGAAACAAATGGAGATATTCCTCGATCCATTGCAAGGAATGTACATATATATGCAATGTGAACATTTCTTTTTTATATAACCATCATAAAGTCTTCAATGTCATTCTTTTTTACTTGATATGAACAAAAGATATGATTTGGGTATATTCACTGCAAAATAGGGTAGTCATGCATACATGCCATATCTAACGATTTTGGCGTGGGACTCACGAAAATTGCTTCAGAAAAAATCGATATCTCACGAATTTCAATCAGTCACACGAAAAGAAACGAAATTTGATCAATCTTAGTGAATAAACAATAGCTACAAGGATTCACACTGACCATGGTCACCGAGAGGTCTGAAGTAAAACGTCTTCAGTCCAAAATTACTATGTGATGACAGTTGATATTCTCATTAAACAGCAACATAAAGAGCTGTTTATTCATTACAATCTACAACATGGTTTGCCAAAACGAAATGTTGGAGGTGACTATAAAATCGGAACCGGACACTGACATTGAATCCAAAATGTACTCTCTTGCACTCGGGATTGGATTCGAGTGTTAATGAAAATAACATAAACAGAAGAGAACAAACTTCTTCAGAACTGGATGGTAGTTATTGGTTTACCTTTTTTCCCAACAAATTAATATTAAATATTCCCAATGTTTTGATATATATTATTTTCTAACCAGGGTTAACAAAGACATCCTTCTAGACTTTCTTCTTTTTTAATTACTTTTACTTTTTGCCTTGTATGCGATATATTTACATATAAATGCTAACAGCTTTATCTTGACCGTGGGTCACGTGTAAACCTCCCTAAAATCCTTTAAAATATCAATAAATCTTCCATTTTGGCTCCAACAAAGTAATTAGAGGCTTCAGAATAACACAAATGATTTAATATTATGTTATATGCTATATTATTTATGTTTTAAATGTCTCACAAATTTCTAATTAATTCAGAGAAAAAATCTCACTATTTTTGACCAAATCTCACTAACAATAATCACTGATCTCACTATTTTACACTGGAAAGTTATGGCATGTATGGTCATGTAATTTTATAATGGTCAAGATCAATTATAATCAAATTTCATATTTCACTTATCTATTAAGCTCTCTAATACTTACAGGTGGTCCTGCCTTTTGAAGGCTTTCGAACACAAATTGCACACATATTTGCGTTCATCGCTGTGGGTGAGTCTGTGCTTGGCAAGAGCGCTTGAATTGTTGAAGGTTTTATTGCACGACGGACACTGCATGGTCTGACGGCCTGGGGAACCTTGACTTTTTGGTTGTTTATTTTTAGATTTCTTCTTGGCGCTATCTGACTTGTTGGAGTCTTAAAAAAATTGCAGGATATCAAGTAAAATTCATGAATTTTAATTCTATTAAATACATATAAGAAATATTTGTTGTTTTATTTCTAACTAAAGGAGATTGTATGTGAAAGGTAACTTAAACATACTAGTGAAAATGTAAATGAGAAAACCTTCATGAATCTTGTTTCCTTTTTCAATACAATGAACAATTCTCTGTCTCTTAAATAACTCACCTGGATTCTGCATGTCATCTGTGTCAATGACTGCCCCCAGGTTATTATCTCCTACAAATCCTGAGGCAGAGTCAGTAAATGGTTGAGGGGACAGTCCCTCCATACTATAGGAATCATTCACATTGCCCTCCCCATCAAAAAGGTCAGGCAGGTTCTCCGACATACGTATGTTCCCTGGTGTTCCCATGTTCGACAAAAGGCCATCATCCAGGTTTGGCAAACTGTCAAAGGCACCTTCTGGTAACATCTCACTGTCATTATAGTTAATAGCACTCAGCATGGCATCCCCCGACTTTGCCGAGGGACGGTAGTGTAGAATCTGAGAGGTGCTGGTCTGGCTTGGTGTCCCTGGGCTAGTTTGTTCACCTCCATCTTGGAACTGGATGCTTGCCAGCCCAGGGACCCCCTTGTCATCTGTTACTGAATAAATGTCCACTTTGGAATCAGATTTATCCATACTTGATGAATGATCATCAGAAGTATCCTTGATGCCAACTCCAATAGGTAATCTGATGCCTAGTGGGTGGTCAGTTAAGGCATACACTGTTCCTCCTGAACTCTGATGAAGGTTATGCAAGGAGTTGGATAGAGTTACTGGCAAATTATCCACAATGGTCTGATGTAGACTACTACCTTGATGAAACAGGGAGGGGTTAATCATAAGATAGTTGGTAGCGCCTGATGCAACATTGGACTGGGGCGACTTAATGGCATTGTGCTGGTCATGACCCGACATGACGAGGCCTGCTGCTGGCTGGTTGGCAGTGTGGTGACCAAACATTCCAAGGAAGCTGGCTAGACAAATCTGTGAGAGTTGTCCCCCCTATTAAGGCAGACCCATCTCACTCTATGACTACATTTTGGCACAAGCAACATCTGTAATTTAAGAGTAAAAACAACATTATAAAATTGGGTGATTCTTTTTTACAAGATGAACAATATTTATTTAAAAATGAATGCTCAAAAAAAATGGAATCTATCTTGTCATATATGCTTATTGAAGTGGTGTTCCAATTTATCAACTTTGAAAAGTATTTTTTAATTTTAACAATCAGATGCATTTTCCATGATAAATTTCAGTCCAAGAAATTGTGTGAAGATGTCATGGGTTTCCCAGTGCAAGCTATCATAGTTTTAAGTATATTGCTATGCTGTATAATGCAGCAATTTGTTCAAAGTATCAGTTTTTAGCTGCTCTGGCCTGTGTTTTGAACAGATATTTTACCATGACAGATACGTTGTTACTGTTATCTCCCAAAAGCTGAATGTTAAACAATTATATAACTACATTCTATTTGTATTATCATAACATTTCAAATGTTTCCCAATGAAGTCTTCTTTTAATATTGCAACTTAAAAGTTATCCATTTGAAATACAACTTCTAAGCATACATTTACAGCACATCATACCCAAAGCCATGCATATATATGCCTGAATTAAATGAATTATGACACTTATTTAATTTATTAGTGACATAACAATATATGTAAAACATCACAATTCACTATTTTCACTGGGAATGACTAGAGTTTAATAATTTTGGAAATTGGGTGCACTCGTTATAAATTATGTACTTGCCTCACTGACAAATGTAATAGAAGTAAGTTTCTCGTCATTGGGTTATCTCAAAAAGTATCAGAAAACTACAGTTTGGTTTCTGAGCTAAGAAATAATTTCTTTGCATTAACTGAACTGGGTCGTGACCAGTTATCGTGACATACCATTTCTCATCATGATGTAGTATTGAACTATTATTGATACAGTTAACTTTTTTTTGGTGGATGTGGCAATTGTCTTTTTGTGAAAGATTTGGTGTTTAATATGGAATCAATTCCCATGGCAAAACCATTTCATTTTTTCCACCAATACAAATTTAAAAGTTCGAAAACAAAAGTTGGTTGAAAATAACAGGTTTTAAGAATTTGTATTGTACAGTCCTATGTTTGCTTTCATGACTATTAATTGTTAAAATCCATTTTACTGGATAAATACTTCTATAAATAACACTCATATCATAAAAGGAAGACTATCTTTTGCTAAGCAAATCTTTTGTTTTTGCTTGTTATTACTATATTCTTTATTTTACTCACGGCCACACATTTGTTTTCCTTATTCCAAAGCTGCAGGCCATATCCCAATAGAAGTGAATTATAGCCCTTGTTAATATCAAACTGGTGTAACAATGCCATTATCACTAACTGGCATACCATGCAAACTCACCATGGACCATTTATTTTTAGTTGGTCCAGGGTAGTTTGCTTGATACTTTATGATCAGGATGTATATAAATGATATACAGGTATTCTTTACAGGTAAAATTTCAATTGCAAAAACAGTTTGTCATACAATGCAAGTTATTACTGGAAACATTTTTTTATAGCCTGGATTTTCCAAAAAGTAATTGCTAAATATAAGTCAAATGGAGACTTCCTGTTTCAGAATGCCAGAATTGAAAGCATACTGGTCAATAATATTTGTTTATGTCTGTTTACCTTTTCACAATTCAAATTGTTTATAACAAAACATAAATGCAACTTTCATCAGATGTTGGAGCATATCATATTGTATTTAAATTGTATTCACATGTAGAAGATAGCACTTCCCAAGAAGAAAATAATAAAATTTAAACAATCATAACAAACAGAAACTAGTAAAGCTAAAAAATAAATGCATGTTGCTTCATTAAAGGTGACTGTTAAAATCTCCGTGTATCAAACTACTATACATAGGCCTAGATATAAACAATGCAGTATGATTGTGATCAAATTTGTGTTGATGCAAGTTTACAGTTTCCCATGTAATACATTAAGATGTCATTAAAAGTTGGCGATCAAGAGATGTTTGTGCGTTATATACCTGACAATGATATCTAAATGTATCTTTATGACTATTTAAACATGTAAATACAGTTAATAAATATCTAAAAAGTTATGATACATTGGATGACGCGTGGGTGGATTCCAAAGATACTAAAGAGCTGTTCATGGAAAAAGCTCGGTTGACATATCACCATTCCCAACCATCTGCAACGGTGATTCCCGGAAGTACTCGCAGAATCTGAAGCATCTGCAAACTTTAAGAACAGTGAAGACTCATTAAAACTAAGAGAAGTAGCATTTGTTTCGTTTACGCGTTTCAAATTAAGGAAACGTGTGTCATTTGTATGCATGTAATCAACACATGTGAAAGTTTTCTTTTGGGGGTTGCCTAGTTTCTACTTGCGAGTTTATGACAATATACGACGCAACTGCAAAAATGAGCATTGCCATTGACAATAATAAAGTACGCAGTCTGCAAGAGCTCACCTCCCTGTTCGAATAAACCTTACAGAGGACAATCAGCATTTATCAAAATTCACAAACGTCATGGTTGTTACAGCTGAATTTCCGAAGTTGCTGTACGTATTTACTTGTGCCTCATTGCTTATTTATAAGCGGAAGGACATGCACTATTTTAAAACAATTTAGTTCTTGTATAAACTTTGTAAAACTACAGTTGATTATCATCAAATGCGCTAAATTATGAAGTTATACATCTTTGTTTAATTCAAGCAATAGTTCTTTATTTCAATTTCATTTGCAATTTTTGTATAGGTATGCTTTAAAAATGTAGGCTCAGTGATATTGACAAATGCCGGATGGTAAACAGGTCTCAAAATAGTTCGTGACGTCACGTAGTGCGCGAGAATGGTAGGAAGTTCATTCGAGTAATCTTTTGATTTTTCATTAGTATAGTATGTATTTTGACGTTCGAGTGTAAACGTTATATTTCATGGCGGATTTCGCCAAGCAAACTGAGCGACAACCAAGACAGATGGAAACAGAACATACAGTTCCAGGTATTTAGTTAACTTACTATATTTACTCCTACTGTTAGTCGTGTGAAACAAGGATTTGGAAATATCCATTTTCATCGTCAGTGTCCTACACGTTAAAGTATAAACACATAAAGGTCTAGAGTTGTAAATATAGGCCAACTTGACGAAAGCTTCCGATTGCCACTGTTTGAACTGAAACGAAGGTAAATCGGGATACCTGTTTCACAATATATTGTCACGTGTGGTGTATTATTTCCGTTTGACAATATATTTTTCTTCAAAACAATGAGCATTTATCAGGTCCAGCCTATGATCTTTCACCTTTGAGTTTGAAACTGTTTTTATCAGGTCCAGTACACTCTGCCGATTGAGCTATATAGCTATAAAGACCTATATAGCTATATACACCTATAAATTATAGCTGTATTGAGCTATATTTTCTCAGATTTCAAATTTCATTGAATTAAAGCAAAGTCGCATAAAACAATAAGGTTAATGGTAATGTTGACTACAAAAAGCATACAGTTAGATGTTTATTTTCATTTTTCATAAATCAATGTAAAATTTCCGATTTCTTTACATCATTTTTAGCTCACCTGGCACGAAGTGCCAGGTGAGCTTATGCCGTGGCGCGGCGTCCGTCTGTCGTCCGTCCGGCGTCAATATTTTACTTTAAATGACTTCTTCTTAATNGAGTAACTGTTGAATTCACCTCACGATTTAAATATATATATGTGAACTAAAGTTTTACCTTTTAAAAATAGACATGATATGCTAATGATATGAATTAATTGATTCCCTAAATAGCATTATAAATGCTTTTCTTTAAAACAGGTGGGGCACAACCCGGGCCCTTATAAGCACTCAAGTACTCTTCCTTTTTTTTGTGACAGTTACTTTTGACAATAACATTATTGTTAATGAAGTGAAAAATAAAGTAAATTAAAACGCACAAATTTCTTTCAAACTTCAGGAATAAAAGATGTCATTCTTTCAACATATTCAAATAATTAATGAAATAAAGAACAATTTGTTAACAAAAATAGATCAATTCTGATGCCTGTATAACAAGACGTATCACCTCCTTTTCATATAAGATTTAATCATTAAAAAGAGCAAATTTGATGTGCCATTAGTCTGATTAATACCTTATCTCAGATATTTACCTGCTAGTAAAAGACATAGACAACCTGCATTATTATACATGTGTAGTAAGTTGAGCAACATGTAATATAAAGCATGAGGATGCAGTCACCAGAATCAAAATGCTTCGAGTAGTCACCATAATCAAGAGGGAGTTATTTTTGGAAGTTAATTCAAACTTTTCTCTTTGCTCATTTTGTGAACAATCCAGACGTGAATGTATTTGTTGATCGTATGGGAACCTGACAACAGTCGGTAGATTCTATAACATCCTCGTTATTTGACATGTCGTCAGAAACTGAGGAATGGTTGATGCGAGACGCGTGAAACTGATAGCATTTGAAGTAGGTCTGTAACATAAGTGTCAGTAGGTCTATAGAATATGTGTATTTAAGACATTTGTAACGAACCCCTGTTGATCAATGTAGTGTAACAGACGATATTTCTGATAAATTGCATGAGTGTTAAAATTGTTTCGATTGCCGGCATTGGTGATTTCAACCGATGTGCTTTTTGTACGATATTGCAGACCTTGGTCTTGCTTTCATTGTAATAAAAGTGTTTTTTATTAGCTCACTTGGCCCTTCGCTATGCCGTGGTGCGGCCTCCGTCCGGCATCAATATTTTACTTTCAGCAACTTCTTCTGTATAACTAAGAGGCCTAGGATAATGATGTTTCGCCATTAACATGCTATGATGAAGGACTAGCAAGTTTGTTCAAATAAATGACCTTGACAAATATTCAAGGTCACAGGGGTCAAATATGTTCAAAACATTTAAATAACTTCTTCTTAATAACCAAGAGGCCTAGGGTGCTTACATTTGGCCAGTAACATGCTGGGCTGAAGGACTTCCAAGTTTGTTCAAATAAATGACCTTGACTTATATTCAAGGTCACCAAGGTCAAATATGTTTAAAACCTTTTTAACAAGTTCTTCTGAATACACGAGCGGCCTAGGGTGATGATAGTTGGCCAGTAACATTCTGGGATGAAGGGCTACCATGTTTGTTCAAATAAATTACCTTGACTTATATTCAAGGTCACAGGGGTCAAATATGTTAAAATCTTTAAACAAGTTCTTCTGAATAACCAAAAGGCCTACGGTGATGATATTTGGCCATTAACATGCTGGTATGAAGGGCTACCAAGCTTGTTCAAATGAATGACCTTCACAAATATTCAAGGTCACAGGAGTCAATTGTCTTAAAAAATCTTTAAACAACTTCTGAATAACTAAGAGGCCTAGGATAATGATGTTTGGCCATTACCATGCTATGATGAAGGACTAGCAAGTTTGTTCAAATAAATGACCTTGACAAATATTCAAGATCACAGGGGTCAAATATGTTCAAAACATTTAAATAACTTCTTCTGAATAACCAAGAGGCCTAGGGTGCTTACATTTGGCCAGTTACATGCTGGGATGAAGGACTTCCAAGTTTGTTCAAATAAACGACCTTGACTTATATTCAAGGTCACTGGGGTCAAATATGTTTAAAACCTTTTTAACAAGTTCTTCTGAATACACGAGAGGCTTAGGGTGATGATAGTTGGCCAGTAACATTCTGGGATGAAGGGCTACCAAGTTTGTTCAAATAAATTACCTTGACTTATATTCAAGGTCACAGGGGTCAAATATGTTAAAATCTTTAAACAAGTTCTTCTGAATTATCAAAAGGCCTACGGTGATGATATTTGGCCAGTAACATGCTCGGAGGAAGGGCTATCAAGTTTGTTCAAATGAATGACCTTGACTTATATTCAAGGTCACAGGGGTCAAATATGTTTAAAACCTATGAATGACTTCTTCTTAATAAGCAAAAGGCCAAGGGTGATGATATTTGGCCATTAACATGCTGGTATGAAGGGCTACCAAGTTTGTTCAAATGAATGACCTTCGCCCATACTCAAGGTTACAGTGGTCAATATATGTTTAAATCTTTAAATGATTTGTTCTGTATGACCAAAAGGTCCAGGGTAATGATATTTTGCTAGAAGCATGATGGGTTTGAAGACTAAACTCTGTTCAACCTAATGTCCTTGTTCGACATTCAAGGTCACAGGCGTCATATGTTTAAATCTTTTAATAAGTTTGTATGAATCAAACACTGATATTCTGCCTGTAGTTGTATTTAGGCCTCTTTTAAGATTACAAGTGTGATATTAAAACCAGGTGAGCGATTCAGGCCCATTGGGCCTCTTGTTTATTTTTTTATTTTGTACATTAATTAACAATGACATTGTCAAATCTCCAGTCAGTGTTGTATTAATACGCTAAGAATTGTGTCTCGTGATGCATGGTAATTAAAGTCCCATCAACGACACAGCTTTCAAAGAGGCTATATAGTGACAATGCCATGCAAATGTAAATATATATTGGTATATACATTTAGGTACATCATGAGAAAAGGCTGTGTCGCACACCAAAATTTGAACATCACAACCTCCATTTGACCTTGACCTCAAAAGTACAGAAATATGGGTTTCTGGAGCATCTCTTTGCATGTGTATTATTTCACAAGCCTGACATCTGAGGATAGTATACAGTTATTATGAAAGTATGGGGTTGAGTGATATAGCATTGTACCTGATCTGCCAATATTTTATGAATGGTTTTGGACTTTGCAAAAGATAGCGGTACATCATTAGAGGTGCTGTACATGTGTCAAGCATCAGAAAGGAAACACAAAAAGTTTGTGTAGATACAGGACATCCTAGGTGAATGCCCACTAAATGGACTCACTTGCAGTGTGATTAGGTAGAATAAGATGCAACAGCTGAATTCAGCCATCTCTCCGATCGATCGTTGCACATGGTCTGCTGCTTTACAAATGGTTGGACGTTGACACAGTTTGGTTAAGATGGCACTGTAACTTAATTGTCTAGCTGCTTGATGTTGCAAGACACCCCCACCCCCTCAATGGAGCAACATGTACAGCCTTTGTCTCTGAACTGGTGACAGCGTATCACAATGAAAATGTACATTGTTGATACTTTTTTGTGAGTTTGTATACATTTAGTGGAAGAAGAATTTTTGACCGGTCATTGTGTAATTCGCAGTTCTTTCACCCATGAATGATTTAAAAAAAGTTGTTCTACCGACATCCTTTTCACTGATATAGAGGAAGTTGGCAGGGGGAGGCATTAGTGTTTCTTATTTTTGGCTGAGTATTTTCTGTATTTTAAAAAAAAGTGGAGTGCATGGGTATCCATGAAGCCCATGACTTGCATCTAGTTAATTCTGGTTTCCATTATCTTTCCTCTTGCACTTATTTCTATACATCTGTCTGTATGATTCATCTTGTTCTGTCACACATTGCTGTACAAGGAGTCTTCATCTCATTTTTTTTATATCAAAGAAAACTGTTGAAATGTATCCTTCAGCATTACTTTATGATATTGTTCAATTAATATTTCAATATCATTAACAAGTACGTATACCAGGTAAGTAAATGAATGAAATTGGGATGGAATCTTAACGATAACAGATTTGATAGAATGTGAATACGTGATTTGACTAAAACTTTACGTATTGGATGCATTATTTGAACATTATTGACTTTCAAGATCAGACTTCTTGTTTATTCTTGTATTGAATCCCTTTCACAGTCACCGGTGCCATTTAACTTTTGGGATTCTCTTTAATGATAAATATTACCTTGTACTATGTAATATATACCTTTGTTGAAGCTTTTCCGTTGAGGACTGACAACGTTGTGAACTATTAACTTATTGATTAGCTGGTAATGATGTTACACTAACAGGGTTTAGTTGTATATTTATACTGATGATTTACAACTTAGCCATTAAATGACATACGCTTTTTTTCTAGGATCAAGTCAAGTAAATATATATATATATAACAGCTTGTACCATAAACCCAGTTCATCTATAAATGATCGACTAATGTTCTCATTGGCTTCTATAAACAGGTAATAACCCTTTGACCTACATAGTGTGTGCCTCATATTGATTTTGTACTTTGAGCTACTGACACAAAAGCTGAGCCAGCAGCTTAACATGGAGGGGGAGGGAGGAAAAGTCGGCATTAGTAACAAACAATTGATACCAGAAATATTGATAAGAGATTTAATCTATTGTGTCCATTTTGTTGGTGTTATTATTGATATTAGCTGCTGGTGTGGTGTAATGAGTTGTGACTGATTAGATGACCGGTAAACTGTCAATACTGTCCATTGGTACATATCTGTCCATCAAAGGCATAAATACATACTCTTTGTCATGTCTTATTATACAAGTAAATGTTATTTATTATGTGGTCCATAGACTATTTATAGAAAGTTTGATTCATTTAAATGTTCCTGTCAGTATATATATATTTAGAAGCCAGATCAATTTCCAATCAGTATTCATTTCTTTACTCGATTAAACTTAAGTTTACAGATTTATAAATGTTATCCATATTAACCTAATTGAAGACATTTACTTAATTAATTCCTTATGATCCCAATGTTATTTTCCCCACGTAAAGAAGACCTAAGCAGGTTTTTTTCTCTTCCTAAAACTGTTTCTAATTGGTTTTACTTTCATTTCAATGATTGGTATTATTAAAAAACACACATTCTTAAAAAATTTCACAGAAACTTGAATTAATAGAGTACTGAAAATTGCAATATATTGCATTGTGATAACAATGTTTAGACCAGGTTATGTGTCTGATCCATTCAACAATATTATATATACAACAATATACAATCATCCACCTAATAAATGTCCTGCCCTTATAAGAGCCCTTTGTCTGATTCCTGTTTCCCTTCTCTACAATATACTGACTTATTTGGGAGAGAAAAAAAATGTAAAATTCTTGAGTTTTGAAGGTTCAGCTACTTTTGTGATTTTCTCAAATTACTAAGTATCTAGGCTGCTTTTTAGGACAATTACGTTACTTCTATATTTGGAATGATTACAAATATCATGAGGCCTGACGAAATGTTTACAGTGATCATGTGGTTTTAATATGTGTACATTATCATAACATTTGATCCACTGTTTTTATTGCTGGAGCTTTCCAAGTGTTTTTTTAAAGATGATATCACATTATAGCTGATAACAGAATATTTATAGGGAATAAATGAGCTGTAATTTGCCTAATTTGTTTCCGGACTTGTCTAAAGAACATCTATGATACAGCTGTATGATGGTGTTAGAAATAAGAAATTAGTAATCATAGCACTATCCAGTATTTATGATATTACCATTGAAACAAATCACAGACCAACAGCACTTAGCCCCCCCCCAAAAAAAAGAGTATGTTTCAGGTAAAATGGCTGAAAAAAATGGGAAGGTCGGTTGGGATTTTAAAAAAAGTGGTACCTGGGGTATTATTTAAAAAATGAATACAATCACTAAGCATATTTTTAGGTCTTTTAAATAATAATATGGAATTTAAAGTTGGTTTTAATACCTGCCTATGAAGTAGAGAGGGTTTATAGTTGTCTGTTCGTTTGTCAAATTGTTTGCATCCGGTAGGATGGACACGTTAATTATCACAACACTGGATGGAGTGCAATCAAGTGTGAGAAAAAAGTTGGGGTCAGAGGTAAAAACTAGGGTCGTTTGGGGTACATGAAAGTTGAAACATAGATTGTTTTTAGCCTTATCCTATTTAAAGGTTATGTGTCTACTGCTTTCTATTTCATACACTGGTACATTATATGGTATAATATATTGTATGAAGCTATATATATATACCTGTTGTGATATTGCGGTGCTAATATATAGCTGATGTAATTATGAAATCATTATCTAGTTTCTTTATTTAGAACAAATGAAAATTTGTTTTTTCACGTATGGTTTTTGAAACCCAGTTGACAGCATGCTGTTGTCTGTTATATCTTATCTTGACAACTAGACAAACATTGTAATGAAACAGTAAACATAATTTACAAGTATTTTCCTTTGAAAATGTACCATTAGATCAGCTAAGCTTTGATTGGAAATGTCCAATTAAATAGAGTTGAAGTTGTTAATCTATCTGAAGACCTAGGCCTGTACTATCTCTATAGATAAAATATGATAGTACACTGTATATGTGTATATATATATATGAGGTCATAATTATGATTTCCGTGTCTTGCATTCAGTACTACATTTTGTATGCTGTGATCGCTGAAGCATTATCTACTACTCATGTAGATACTAAACACATTTTACCTTGACCTGTTAACAATAGAGATCGTGGTGTACAAACAATTTCCCTATTATTCGGATTATACAACTCAGATGGAGGAAGAGGGTAGGCATTTTATGTGTATTGATTATAACATTACTGTGTACAAGTAATATAACCATACATGGAATATAACCATACATGGCAACAAACATCACATATACTCAGGCTTCTGGATTGAATTGTACTCCAGCATTTCCTGCTTTTAGATGTAAACAAAAAAGTAATTAAATTACTTAAGGTTAATTTATTAACAAAATTCATTAATTTACTGTCACTTTACAGTGCCATTTTTTCAAAATTTACAGTGTAAAATATCACGTACTGTATGTACACAAATGATACAATGTTGTTAGCCATTAGCAATCAGTTAAACAATTATCAGTACTTTGCAAGTGTCTTCACTTAATGACACCAGGTGGTGACACATGTACAGTATCCATCTGTTGTTTGACCTCAACTTTTTCTTTTAATAAAATCATTGGCACGTCTTCATACGAAAACCGAAATGTTTTGTATGAAGAATCATTTTCACAGTATACCGACTTAAAAGCCCAAGCAATGTTATCACTGTAATATTGTACCTATCATATGTTTAGACATAACATATTATGTCATAACTGGGATTTTTCCAATAAATATTGTTTAAATGATGATGTAATTTATATAAACTATGCAATGACCTAACAGATTGGTACCACATGCTTTTTTGTTTCTTGGGAGTTTTAGTGTTGTATAAGAACATTCGAAATATTGTAGGGACCTCCCCAGAAAGATTTGAGCACTGGGCGCACATCTGTGAGCCAGGCTGGGTTGCATTTTTTCAGCCATCCACAATTTCCTATTATGTAATCACAGTATCCATCATTATGGGGACTTGGTATATCAACTACCGTATGTATTTATTCACTACTCGCGCGATCAGTGTCAATTGCTATATGAGATGTTAAATTCAACATTTCTAGATAAAAGTAAATGTTGACTGTTAAAATAGAATATAAATGAGTGGCGCAATAGGGCAGATAGTAGTGCAGTGATTTTAAGCTCACCTGGCACGAAGTGCCAAGTGAGCTTATATTGCCATGGCGCGGCGTCCATCGTCCGTCCGTCCGGCGTCCGGCGTCTGTCGTCCGGCGTCAATATTTTACTTTAAACGACTTCTTCTTAATAACCGAAAGTCCTAGGGTGTCGATATTTGGCCAGAAGCAAACTTGGATAAAGGGCTACAAAGTTTGTTAAAATTAATGACCTTCACCTATTTTCAAGGTCACAGGGGTCAAATTTGTTTAAAATCTTTAAACAACCTCTTCTGAATAACCATGGGTCCCAGGATGTTTATACTTTGCAAGTTGCATCCTGAGATGAAAGGCTATACAATGTGTTCAACATAATGACTTTGTTCGACTTTCAATCACACGGGGGAAATGTTTAAAAAAAAAATAACAGGGTCTTTTGAATGAATTTTAATCATAAATACTGATATTTTGCCTGTAGCTTGATCACTTTTAAGGTTACAAGTGCGAGTTTTATACCAGGTGAGCGATGCAGGCCCATTGGGCCTCTTGTTCTTTTGTCCAGTTTTACAGCTGAATACAGGCTGTTTCCCCTAGCTAAAAGTGACTGATTTTTCCAAAATGAGAAATATGTTCCCAATCTCAATAAAAATAATCCTATATAATTTCCCAATTCATAAAGTAACAGGCTGTTGTAAAATTCAGGTAAAAAACCCACTGCTCAGTGGGAGCAGGTGCCAGTTTATCAGGCCTGGGGAATTCCTTGTATTTGTCAGTTTATAGGGTGGTGTAGATTGGTCATCATTCAGTGATTAATCTACTTGCAAGTCCTGGGTCCTGTACCCATAGAATATTAATTTGACTGATAGAATTTCTGAAAATACTAAAACTTAATATGGTGGGACTCCCATTGACCTGTATCTTTTAACCACACTGGAAAAAAGAGCCATACAATAAATTGTAGATTGGTCACTGATTGACCGTGCAGAGGAGGATAGCACACTCACCTATCACCAACACTGCCAGGGTTTGATTCCCCTATCGTGCATGGAAAGGTATGGAGTAAGCTGTCTGCCCACATGGGTTTTATCCAGGTATTCCCATTTCCTCCCACATTAAGACCCTCTGCATGCAACCATCCTGGCCAACAGGACTGTGTAATATAAAATTATCAAACTTCGAAAAGGAAAAATCTCCATTGTTTTTAGTGACTGACGAGTTGATAAATAATCTCCCATATGGCTGTCAGCAATATGAAATATTTGTTACTGATGATGTACGTTGTATGACATACGCTGTTCTTCCATCCAGTGTCGGCAAATGGCACGCCACTACATGGCCAGCCCATCCAGATTGTGATCACCGGGGAGGATCACCAGTTTGAGCTCGACGAGACAAAACTGGAGGAGATTCTATTGAGCCCCCTTATACAGGACAAGAAGGTGGTCGTAATCTCTGTGGCTGGGGCCTTCAGGAAGGGCAAGTCATTCCTTCTAGATTTCTTCCTCAGATACATGAATGCAAAGGTAGGTTTTCCTCTATCAACATATATACATCAGGTTTGAAAATCTAGAGCTAAATCATAATAAAGGGGGGTAAATGTCAAATTTTGTAATGCTATACTGGTATATCTTATTTGAGAGAAATGTTTCCAATGGTTCCAGGTGAAGGTTCTTGTTGAACCATTACCATTAATAGGTTATTACCAGGTACTGAATGGTATCAGTCTTTATTTTCCCAATTGGATCAAAAAGCATGTTTATACAAGTTTCCAGTCATTATATGTTCAACTTTCAAAGTATTACCATCGATGGGGCATTCAAAATACATCAATAATGAAAATTTGAAATTGAATAGATAAAAGCCCTGGTCAAGCTATGTACAGCATTCTCAATAACATGTGTGATACAACATTGATATTGGCTTATAAATGCATCAGTAGTGATTGAGTATAGAATAAATAAATAGGCAAATTGGGTATTCATTAAAAATTGTATACATGTACATGTTAACTCAAATGCATTAATTGCTGCAAATTGTCTGCAGGGTCATCCAGACTGGCTGGGTGGAGACGAAGCCCCCTTGACTGGATTCTCATGGCGGGGTGGTTCAGAAAGGGAAACAACTGGCATACTCATGTGGAGTGAACCCTTTATATGCAAAATACCATCAGGGGAGGAGGTAAAATCTAATTAGAAATTTCATACATCATATTGGGAAAAAAGTTGTACTTTGAACACTAGAGTAGAAAGGTGTACTGTTGTACAACAACATAATATTTATAATACACCTTAAGTGATTTCACTATTACCATATTTTTCACAGTATTTTAATGTTTCAGAGGATTTTCCTTCCTATAAGACTAACAAGTAGCCTTATATAAAAAAAACACTTGTTCTTGGCATGTGTTTGTTATAATCATGTTTTACCATATAGATGTTGTATCCTGATACATATAATAATCATGTGTTACCATATAGATAGTGTATCCTGCTGATACACCGACTTTTACTATTAAAATTTGATTTTCGCTATGTTTCATTACAATTCTACTTGATTATTTTAAATAAAAATGAAGCATGGCTAATATTGCCTCTCACTTACTGTTTTTATCGCCACTAGGTGGCAGTGCTGTTGATGGACACACAGGGTGCGTTTGACAGTGAGTCAACAGTACGGGACTGTGCTACAGTTTTTGCTTTGAGCACTATGCTCAGTTCTGTCCAGGTAAAAAGTCTTTTCTTCATTGCTATGGTATATTAATATCTTTTAAAATGAACATTTTGTTACATATTCAATTGATCACCAGATGGATATTCCAGATGATGTTGTTAATTGGTAACTTTTTGAAGAAAAAAAGAACTGTTCCAGTTTTAAACAAAAAATAACTGAGCAAATTAATGTTCATGTGTTTAGTTTGGATTTTTTGGATGGTTTGTTAAGAAGAGTGATGTCCTCTAGTAAACTCTGCCTGTGTATTTGAATACTCGTAACTGTTTGATTGTTATAAATCAACTTTCATTTTCCAGGTCTTCAACTTAACACAGAATATCCAGGAAGATGACTTACAACACTTACAGGTATATCAGCTTGGAGGGGTCTTATATTTTCATGTGAATTTTTAGGTCACCTGAGATAAAGTCTCAAGTGACCTATTGCGATCCCCTTTTGTCCAGCGTCGTCCGTCGTGCGTCCATAAACAATTTACATTTTGACATCTTCTCCAAAACTACTGAACCAATTGTAATGAAATTTTGCAGGAACCTTCCATGGCCAACGGTCAACCAAAATTGTTAATTATATGGTTTCCAGCCACCAGGGGCCTGAGGGGTATGGCCAAAAAGGGTTGAATTGATTGAAATTTCAAAAATCTTCTTTTCAAAATTTATTATGGTTTATATTTGCAAATGATACTTTGGATATTACATGTTGATAACTTGATTGGAATTATAACCCTGAGTTGACAGTTTGATACATTGAAAATTTTGAGCCAGCCCTTCCCCAAGGGCTGTAGGATGGGGCTTAATTTAAAGGAGTCGGTGTGCTAAAATTTCTTCATTTTCCTTGTTTAGAATCAAAGGTGCTAGTTTCAAATACTTTTCAGTCTTAAATCTGTATGCTAGATATTGAATAAGGTGGTTTTATTGTTTTTTGTCACTTTGAATAATATCTCTGTTCATGTTTTAAAAAAAAACACCTCTGTATAAATATATCAGAACTCAGGTGACTGTTAAGGCCCATGTGCTCTTGTTAACAAGAAGATTACCATGGAGGTTCCAAATAAAAAAATACAGCCTATTTGTATCTATGATGTGTATGGTTTGTCCATGAATAAGATGGCATAGTCTACATGATGTATACAGTTTGTCCATGAATAAGATGGCATAGTCTCCATGATGTGTACAGTTGGTCCTTGAATAAGATGGCATAGTCGCCATGATGTATACAGTTGGTCCATGAATAAGATGGCATAGTCTCCATGATGTATACAGTTGGTCCATGAATAAGATGGCATAGTCTACATGATATATACAGTTGGTCCATGAATAAGATGGCATAGTCTACATGATGTATACGGTTGGTCCTTGAATAAGATGGCATAGTCTACATGATGTATACAGTTGGTCCATGAGTAAGATGGCATAGTCTCCATGATGTATACAGTTGGTCCATGAATAAGATGGCATAGTCTCCATGATGTATACAGTTGATCCATGAATAAGATGACATAGTCTCCATGATGTATACAGTTGGTCCATGAATAAGATGGCATAGTCTCCATGATGTATACGGTTGGTCCATGAATAAGATGGCATAGTTCGGTGCACAATTTGTTCCCATACTTGAACCCTGTGTTTAAAGTGGTCTTCAAGTTGAAATAAAGTAACAGGTAAGAACAAAGTGTAGGAAACGTGATAACATCCATGTAGGAATCAGTTTATCCTGTACAGTGTGGAGGGCTACTTTGGCTGCTAACATACCTGTGATTTCCTCCAGAAAATATCTGGCCTAGGATAAATACCTCCTGACAACATATACGTAATGGCCAATGACTCGGCCCTATATACACATCTGTCCCATTCCTGTATGCCATTTTATTCATGGACCAACTGGATACATCGTTTCTGAAGACGTAGTCCTGTGTTTCTATCAAATGTATGAGATACATAAAAGATGCAATTTATTTGGACCCATACCAGCAAGCAACTAGACTCCTTTATGGGATCCCTGAATGAATTTCATCAAATTCACTTATGAAGCTAGTCTTACCTCTATTCATTTCCTAGACCCCAGATAAACATGATAATCAACCATCACGAGTTTGGGACCTTTTTCTCCCACAATGTTTGTATATTAAACCTTTAAAAAAACAATTGCCATGAAATATGATGTCACAATGGAAGATGATGTGGCAAGCATTGTCAATTGACGTCATTATAAGGAGATTTACCAATGAAATAACATCCAAGATGTTACCCACTAATGGGTTACCAAAAATGTTTACCAACTGCCAGCAAGTTTATCCTGTGAGGTGATAGTTAGGAAACCTATAGTGGTTATGGGAAAAAATTATTTATTTAATTAAATACAGTTGAAAAAATAAGAAACTATCTTAAGAGTGAATTATGAATTTAATCCATGATAATCTAATTGAAAGTGATCTCATTGGTCATCAAAAGTGACAATTTTTTTCCTGCAGTAAAAATATCACTTTTTGTGGTATTTCCAGATATTTCATATCTTGAAAAAAGAACTTAATTGTTTTATGGTATTTTTCAACAGTTTTAGTCTCAGTACATTCAGTGCTTTAATTGTATACATAAATACCCAAATGATGAACTGAAAATTGTTAATACTTGAATGCCCTTTTTTTCAGTTATTTACAGAGTATGGAAGGTTAGCCCTCGAGGCCAATGACAATGTCTCCAAACCATTCCAGGTAAATCATATAATCATAACAAACCATTGATTGACATTTTTATCAAAGCATGTAGTGTAAATGCAGAAATCCTGAAGTATATAATAATATAATGTAATATAATATAATAATCTTTATTTAACGTCGTGTACAATATTTGAAGTGATGGATTATAAGGAAGTGGCTCATCAGAAGTTAGAGAATAGTGAATCGGAAATGTATAGGATATTGTAATAAAAAGTTTGCCTAAAATTTTTGTTTGTCTTGTCATGCAATTCTTAAAAAATAATTGGTTTGAGACAGCATCTTAGATCTTTCCAGTCAGTGTCAAAGTAATGTTTTGCAACAGAAAATATTATTCAACTTCCAATTCACAATACGGATTTGGCTTTAAATCTGAACCATTCATTAATTGATTTGAAGCTTTGACATTATGTAATGATAAATGACAAGCAAATTTGGATCAAAAGGGGGATAATTCTAGATACTGGCACAACTAGAGCGAGAGACATGCTGTGTAAACAGGAAAACTTGTGTATCCGCAGAATTTGGAGTTCCTGGTGCGAGACTGGAGTTTCCCATATGAAGCACCCTACGGAGCAGCAGGAGGACGTAAGATCTTGGAGCGTCGACTCCAGGTGTCCGACCGACAACATCCGGAGCTTCAGCAGCTGCGCCTACATATTAAGTCCTGCTTCACCAGTATTGGCAGCTTCCTTATGCCCCACCCAGGACTCGGGGTCGCTACCAATCCCATGTTTGACGGCAAACTCAAAGGTTAGGCAATTTTGAATAAGATATTGATCGCAGATGCTGAAAAATAGACAAGTTATTGTGGGTCTGCAGAAAGTTTTGAAAAGGTTACAGAATGTTATCAAGGTCTTTTGGTAATTATTTTTGGGGAGGGAGAGGTAAATCATCAATTCTTGTGTGTAACAAATTTAATTGTCTAGTCATAAGACAAATGAATGTCAAAACTCAAAAATGATAAATGGATAATTTCTTCAAAAATTGCTTATCAAGATGTGAAATGTCTTGTAATATTTCTGCAATTTGTCTCCGATGCTGTATAGTTGTTCCTCTTCACTGGGTTAATATTTCACAGTTGTCCCAATCAGAACAATTTCGCAGGGATTGAATTTCATCCGACAATGCCTTTTCAAAACTTCTCAGTCACTGTCTGCTTTGTACAGTGTACTAGGCACTCTACATGTAAGTTAGTTCAGCAGAGAACAACCGGGAAGTCACTGACATGCCCGATTACAGATAAGTTGTTTACATTTCAATAAAACCATGTACATTAGAATGTGAGCTGCTTTGAATGAATTGTTTCATAACAACCGTGGTAGATAGAATAGGGTTTGAAATCCACAAATATAGCAAATAAAACACCCCATAAATAATACCAACTACACAGTAATATGTTTATTTGGATATTTTTGCAATTTTGACTCTGACAGATGAAATGCTTCTTTTGTAGACATAGAGAAAGATTTTAAGGAACAGTTGAAAATTTTAGTGCCATTACTTCTTGATGATGAAAACCTGGTTGTGAAGGAGATCAACGGATGTAAAATAACATGTCGGGAACTAGTTGAATACTTCAAGGTAGGTGTCATTGTTTTCTGTATCCAGAATGAAAAAACAAATATCATTTTATCAGTAAAAAATTGTAATAATTAGTTCAAATTTTATGATGTATAAGATATATTTTCACCCAGTAATTAATTTGCCATTCATGTTAAATTACTATGCATATTATGTTGTTTACAAATATTCGCTGTGATGATAAAGTCAGTCTCATTTCAAAGGTAAAAAAAAGGTTGAAAATTAAACTGCAGCAAAAATTTCCTGTATTTTTGTAGGTAATAGAAAACTACATAGAGAAACTAATCAGTGCAATTATAGTTTAGTCCATTATTTTAAGCATTAAAGGCATGAAACGAAGATTACATCTAAAATATGTTCTTAAACAAGTCAACATAGTTTTCATTGTATTCATTCTCTTAGACAGTAATTTGAAGTATATTAAAGCACTGTCTTACATATTTATGTTCATGTCTATTATAAGATTTACCTTGTGTTTAGGCTTACATCAAGATTTACCAAGGAGAGGAACTACCAGAACCCAAGTCCATGTTACAGGTATATATGTGTAGGTAGCAGTGTACAGTAGCGTACAGTGGCCATGGGGGATATTTTTGTACAATGAATAACCCCTGTAATATTACTTTTTGGAAAAAAAATCATGCTCCTAAAAAGAATGTATTCAAAATGTAGTTCATAAATATATATATATATGTGTAGGTGTGTTGTGCAGGATGAATTTGCTTTCCATGTTTATCCAAGACATGCCCTTTATTTTTAGGATCAAGCGCTTTCCACTGTACTCAGCTACCGTATTCAAGCTTACTGTGTTTAAGGGTCAGATCAGGAATTAACCCAGACCCTATTTTACCCAAGGCTTAAGTTGAATAAAACTTTCAAGGGTGAAATTCATGTAAAAGGTTTATGAGTAAAACTGAATTTACCTTCATGTTATTCAGGAAAGTGCAACTCAATACTACGGAGTAAAACTATCACAAAAAAAATATTCTTACATAGCCTGGACGTACTGGTTTAAGTTTGATAGAACTTAGTGAATAGATAGCGCAGTGGATAGGATACTTGCCTTTCTTCAAAATGGTTCCCTGATCAGATGTCACCTGCCCAATCTCATCAGTTTCCTCCAATTTCTATTTCCATCCAGGTCAACAAGAGGAATTGATATAAGTTGGTAAAACTTGTTTAATAAGTTTTGTAAAATGAATCGTGTTAATATATTTGTAGAATTGGAACCTTGTACAGTAGTACCCCAATGGTATTTAGTTCCTGAAGTTCAAACAATAGGAATGATAAAAAACAAAAGTTGTGGGAAAATTGTCGTCCAGGTTTTTATCTAATATACACCCTTCTTGTACTTAATGTTTGTCATAGGCAACAGCAGAAGCCAACAACCTAGCAGCAGTGTCCAGTTCCAAGAGTCTCTATCAGAAGGAAATGGAAATTGTAAGTGTTAACTTTAATTTTGGCTGTAGTTGAAACACATTGATTACTGGGAGGCTGAGTTTTTGAACAAAGTACTGACAGGTTTATATACCCCTGGTTATGAAGGGGGGGGGGGGAGGGTATATAGGAATCACCATGTCTGTCCATCTGTCAATGATCCTTGTAAGCGCAACTCCTATTTACCTTGGAGTTATGGCCCTTGAAACTCTAGTTTTGCATGGACTGTTCTTGGTATGTCATAATGAAAAACTTGCAGAATCTTCATACTTTAATATTTAAAAATTAAATTCATAAAATTCACTTATTCAAATATATCGAAGCTTTGTTTGACTTCAGTAGAAGTTTGAAATTCTACTACAGAATGTCTTCCTAGAAGACTGAACTGTTTAACTACTTATAACTAATGTATCATTCCTAGTGAAGAGTAATCTATCAGACAAAGAGTATCCCCCCAGTCGGTATCTGATTACATGTACCACTAATCGCCAATCAGAGTTACAGGTAAACTCAATGTGTATTACCGATAAATCCAGTATAATACAGGAAAATACACGTCTGTAATACAGGTAAAATTAGTTTGTATAGCAGGTAAAAAACAGTCTGTATTTTTAATGAAATAATACTATATTACAGGTAAAATGTGTACATGAAACAGGTAAAATTAGTTTGTATTCCAGGTAAAAACAGTCTGTATTTTTTAACAAAAAGTACTAAATTACAGGTAAAACCAGTTTTTTTACAGGTAAAATATTACATGAAACAGGTAATTATAGTTTGGATTCCAGGTAAAAACAGTCTGTGTTACAGATAAAATTCCTGACAAGCGTAATACATCTCTTAACCCATAACCACTGTACATATTCTGATCTTTTGTTTCCCTTAAATAAATAATTTTCTGTTCTCAATCAGACAGTTTCCAGTTCACCAGATAAAACAGTAAGCAGACAGAGAGTGCAATGTAATGATATCTGGTGTTGTAGATTTGTGGTGGAGATAAGCCCTTCCTACACCCTGATACCCTACAGAGAGACCATCAACGCTGCCTTGAGAAAGCAATGTCAACATTCAATTCTACACGGAAAATGGGTGGACCTGAGTTCAGCAAGGTCTATGGAGAACAGATGGAGAAAGAGTTACTGGAAATGTATGACAATTACAAGAAACATAACGATGGAAAAAATATTTTCAGTTCCGCCCGGACACCCGCCGTGCTGTTCACGGTCATGGCTATGGCGTATGTGTTTTCAGGAGTGTTTGCCCTGGTGGGACTAGATTACTTTGCCAGCCTAATGAACTTAGTGTTGTTTGTATTCCTAATGTTACTGTGTACCTGGATGTATGTGCGTTACAGCGGCGAACAGAGGATGATAGGAGAACATATAGACTTTATTGCTGAGGTCATCTGGGACAAGGTAGGTCAACGGTCAACTTCCAATAGGAATGTGCTGGTTTATGGTGTGTCTAACAATTCAGTGAAATATCACTTTAAAGGTATTTTTAGTCACGAGAATACACAAGACTTGTATATGTCTACCTCGTATTTCGAAGCTGTGTTCGAAATTCAACAATCACAGATGAAATAAATAAGGTCAACAGATGAATGAAAGTTTATTGATGGAGTATTTATGATTTTATCTCTCAGTTGAACTTGATACGCAGCATTTGGTATTGGCCATATGATCACAGTAATCTGATGGTATATGTGTGTCTATTGCAGGCCCTTGCACAAGTCTACACAAAAGTGTTGGAGCAGGGAGTGAAACAAGCCGTACAGCAAACAACACGACCAAAACAGGAATAACAGCATCCATCTTGTGTTCAGTTCTGTGGGACTACGACACAGAGCTAGACGAAGCTCTCGGTTACATTTCCAGAAACGTTGGCAAGCAGAGTATAAGATATATTGCCCTAAGATTTCAGATATACAGGTCAGAGGCCTGCTACTAAAACCAGGAGGACAAAAATAGGGTAAACATTTTCTGTAGGGCTCTGATAAAGTACCTGTTGATGTTGTTTCTAAATTTTATATAGTTTATGACCTTCAGAATTATATAATAAAACTTTAGTCCTGTGCCAGTTAACTTATTCATATTAATAACTTTATATATTATTATAGGACTAGGGTTTCTTTTTACCTGTTATTTTTCACAGATAAGTAACAATCCTCTGATTTTCCAAATACAACATTGTGATTTATTATGAAATTTTAGTTATTTTCTCACCACTATGACATAATAAAGAAATCAATACTTTATTATTATGTTCTCTATAAATAACATGGCAGAAAATATCTAATATCCCACTTTTAACATTAAAACATTGATGGTTATCTAATTTTAATCCATTTAGTAATATAATTCCGACTATAGAAATACATGTTTTACAACGTGCTTTTTTCTCAAAGAAAAAATTAAACAATGATGATTAACTGTAGAAATACAGGTTTTACAAAGTGCTTTTTCTCAAGGAAAGAATACCAAGTAGTTAACAATTATAATGATTAACTTTAGAAATACAGGTTTTACAAAGTGCTTTTTCTCAAGGAAATAATTGGTTTGATTTAGCTAAAATGCAGGCATGCTATGATAAGTACATTTGACAGTGGTGAAGAGATGTATTCCATCGCTAAATGTTAGACAGGTATTAAAAATTCCATTGATTTTGAATTGAATCTGATTATCTTCTCTGTTAAGTCAGTTACTGACGTTTTCTAGGACTTCGTCTGAGCCCTATTTCAGAAATACAATATGTAGGTGCAATAGAGGGTAGACATACATCTGTTACATGTAACTTTGTTTGGGTCCAACTTTTACTCAAGATTTCAATAAAGTTGATAGTGTCAAGCTCTAATAGATGTACAGATGTCGTCAGAAGTGAAGAATATTTTGTTAAAACAATGCCAGTTACAATAAGGATTTTATATTGTGAGTAGTAGGCAGAACAAGGGAAATGAAATCAACACTGCATGACCTCATTGTTTTGCTCAATCTTGGAGCACCCTGTACAGAGGTGTAGATATTTGATATACATACAAGATGAAATTTGATATGCAAGTGCTCAGTGGTATCGGGATGTAACAATGTGTGAATACAATTGTATTGATATTATAGTGTTTTCTTTTTGAAGATTTAGAATTTTCAACTATTACCATTCCAAGACTGATTGTCTGAGAAACCATTGTTCTGAATGTTTGTATTCTTTCCAAATTATCGCTGACCTCTATCTGACCTGATTTTGAAGAATTTTTTTGTGTTAAGTTTGGAACCTTTTTGTGAATCTTTTTGAAAGACAACTGTTTTTCAAATGCAATATCATATCGCATTATCAAGCCTTTGATATTTATTCTACAGGGACATTTTCATCGCAGTTTATCTTTTGGCTTTATTGCCTTCCGCAAGGAGGCTGCAATAAACATATTGTTGTCAAATGTGAAAGGCGAATATGGAATGGAATTTACTGGCATAGGTCGAAATTTTGACAGGACAAAATTTCCCAGTATACATTATCCCATTTACTTCAACGGTAAGGTTCAGTTGAATATTCAGTTCAATAACGGGTATCACCAAAATAACAAAATCCAAAATTGAATAACTGAAATTTTCCCATTACCATTAGTAACAGGGGTATAAGGATAAAGGCTATCATTTACTTGATTTTGTGAGATGGTCTGTTTTTTAGAGTTTCTTCATGAAAGGAGTGGCATTAAGATTTTTTTTCAAAATACATGCTGTTTTTCATCAGATAACATGTCCAATTTCATGAATTTCATTTTTTCCATCTATGACTCGGTCAAAGACTATCATATCCAAAGCAACTAAGTGTATATCTCACAGCTTCAAATTAACATTTAAAGTATAAAACAGGTTTTACAAAATTGTATCTATTTTTATACCATTCTTTTAGATTTTGTTTTGTCAGTACCATGACAAGTCCTCTTTGCTTGCTCTAGATTAATCACTTTTCATGATCAAAATTTTACCTGTGAATTATTGTTAAATTTCAAGATTTTATTTAAGTTTAGGATATTTATAATTTAGAATATAGTATATAAACATATAGCTGTAGAAAAGATGGCAGTTTTAAACAGTATTATTCAAACAAAAGGTACCTTTCCTTTTATTGTTTTATATATTAGATAATATCATATAAAATATGATTGAAATTTAAACGGTATACAGAACTACATATATAAATGATTCATTTGTAATTTTGTTAAACAATTCAAATTTGATTAATTATTTTAGTTTAAATTATTTGAATTATTCCAGTTATCTATTATTTTGTTAACGAAATCAGTTTCAGTATAAAATAAGAGTTTAGAATTGTTAACAAGGTATATTGGAATATCATTGTTTTTCTTATAACGCAAAACAAGGAGTAGTTTTCAAATCTTAGTTTGATATGTATTTCATATTATGGGATGTACCAGGCAGTTTGATGTTTGTGTGTAAAGATCAAATCTTAACAGCGATATATTGAAAAAAAGAAAGACATGTGTATCACTTTACCAAATCCAAATTTAGTGCGACCGTTTTCACTCAAAAGACTTACCGGTAAACAGATTAAAGAAAGATGATATTGTTCATGCAGACATTATGATTTCCAGACAAATCTCTGAAAATAATGAATTTTCTAAGATACTCAATACTGAAATAAGAATTTTCACTTTCAAGTAATAGACTAGTACTGTAACTGTGGGACTACATCCTTTGTTTGCAAATCCTGAAATTTGCATGTCAACGTCATTGCAATCACAATATATTCAACATCAATGTATATTGTAATGTAAGGCAGAGTGACAGGTACTTTCAGGATTTACTAACGAATGTTACTGTCCCACAGTTTAAGTAAAAAAGTTTCCTAGGTTTCAAATACATAGACAATGTCTTAATTTAAGAGGTCTAGCTGTATCACAAACTTCTAATCATTTTTAAAAAATATATTAAAAAAAAATCTGTACAATTCTGGTTGAAGATTTTCTTGTATTGCACGACTTTAGATGTATATATCACAAATTTCACCTTTATCACTTTAACATTACAGGTCTTATTAAGGAAATAAGAAATACAAATATTTATAGATTTGTCTGAAAGGTAAACTTGTTTATCACTGAATATGATTATATGTCAGATATCTTTTGCCTTAAGTACTGCAAAATATATAAAACACTGAACTTGTGATTCTGTAGAAGCCTTATGAGCCTGGGCACCTTACGTTACCGCAAGAGCCACCTTACGTTACCGCGAGAACCACCTTACTACTAGAGAATTTACTTTTGATTACAGCAGATAGTTTGCAGAATTATTAAGTATTTTTGAGATAGCAAAGTACAAGGTGTAGTTTTAATTGCGAAATGCTTTGTGCAAACATTAGATAGCAGGGATATACACAATAGAAACAGCAGTGCCTTACTATACCATCAGCAGTAATACAATGTACATCCTACCATGGTGTTTCCTCTTTATATTTTGTATCATCATGTCCAGGTTTTTTTCTGTTTATCATATCATTTGTGTATCAAACTGTTCAAATTTTCATGTGTATATTGATCTTTTTTTTTTCTTTTTTTTTTTGTAAATTGTGTCGAAATATTTAACTTGTACTATTGATGTTATAATATTTATTGTGAAGTGATGAACATTTACTGCGTTAATTTGTTCAGGACAACACTTCTGTACAGCAATGATAAATCAACATACAGGGTCTCACACATATTTGATACTGTTTGCACCTAACCTTGTCCTGATTATATTATCAGTTATCTCCCCTTGTAATCAATGTTGGGATAGTCTGACAGACAAGGGGGCTTAGAATATCTTGATAAATGCTAACAAATGAGCATGACTGGCCTTTTTCTAACTTTGTTACTACCAGTTATGTTTATTTACCCAGAAATTACTGTCATGAAACAGAAATAGTTGACACTACAGTAAATCAGACTATTTACATGCAAGTTAGTTCATTTGTTCAGAAGTAAAAATAATCTCAGGTTTGTTTTTGGCATCCTTTCCTTACAACAAAGTAAGTTGCGGTCATATTGAGATTATTAGTGGCAGTTAAAGCATTTGGAACAGTACCTCTTCAAAATGTGTTCTAGAAAAACAAAAAAGGATGTTCCTGACACAACAATCAAAAATATACCAAATTAAAGCCAAAAGTAGAGGTTTATATTCCAACAACTGCATTTGTAGGTAACCAATTTATTGAGTATGACATACACAATACTTTTCATAGATTTAGATTTAAATTTTACTGTTACCAGTAATGTTTCTATTTCATGACAGCAGGGCTAACTACTCATTGGTTGATGTAATTATTACTAAATCACTCACCGATGTTAACTAATAACGTTTTGTCATTGTTGGATAACAACAGATAGATAATGGTGCAGATCATCACTCACCGACGTTAACTTATAACGTTTTATCAGTGTTGGATAACAACAGATAGATAATGGTGCAGATCATCACTCACGGACGTTGATAACAACGGATAGATAATGGTGCAAATCATCTCTCACTGACGTTGGTAACAACAGATAGATAAAGGTGCAGATCATCACTCTCCGACGTTGATAACAAAAGAGAGATAATGGTACAGACCATCTCTCACCGACGTTAACTTGTACCGTTTTATAAGTGTTGGATAACAACAGACAGATAATGGTGCAGATCACCACTCACCGACGTTGATAACAACAGATAGATAATGGTGCAGATCATCTCTCACTGACGTTGATAACAACAGATAGATAATTGTACAGATCATCTCTCACCGACGTTGATAACAACAGATAGATAATGGTGCAGATCATCACTCACCGACGTTGATAACAACAGAGAGATAATGGTACAGATCATCTCTCACCGACGTTAACTTATAACGCTTTATCATTGTTGGATAACAACAGATAGATAATGGTGCAGATCATCACTCACCGACGTTGATAACAACAGAGAGATAATGGTACAGATCATCTCTCACCGACGTTGATAACAACAGATAGATAATTGTACAGATGAGAATTTACTATGTAGTTATAGTTACCATTTTTAATATGTTTAAACATTGGTGCATTGTTAACCTTCAATACTCAGATGACTACGCTTCAACTAGACAAACCCTGTTGCTCACAGTCCGGTATCACCAAACAACAAATTAACATAAATACACCATTTGCTGATTTAGATCATTTTTAGAATATTTCTTATAAGGTTGGTGTTGGGATACTCTACATCTGATCACATGGTGAGAACGATGGGATGTGATTGGTCATTCCTTATATGTTCTAGAAATTTAAATATCAAGGATCTCTGTACCACCGCCAAAACCTGGAACTAAGTGTTGGAAAAGGAAACTCTAAAAAGTTGGGTGGGGCTAGACCCGGGTTGGGACACTGGACTTAGATTGTTATATCATGGCTCTAACCAATTCAGCTACCTGGTTATTTGTTATATCATGGCTCTAACCAATTCAGCTACCTGGTTGTTTGTTATATCATGGCTCTAACCAATTCAGCTACCTGGTTATTTGTTATATCATGGCGCTAACCAATTCAGCTACCTGGTTATTTGTTATGTCATGGCTCTAACCAATTCAGCTACCTGGTCAGTGAAAGTGTCCTGGCCCGGCTGTTCTACAGTTATATCCAACCGGAAGTTATAAGGAAAGGTTAATGTATATACTGAAAAAAAAACACAGTGCAGTGGGACAGGGATCCTTAATAGCATGTATGGGCAAAACCCTGTGATCACTGAAGTGCTTGTTTACGCGTGCAATATACCTGCTGTCTGATACAAGTGTACATTTTGTTTTCAGACACAATTCCTGTAAAATATCAAATGAAATGTTCCATAATTTTCTAATATAGATGTTAAAAAGTGCTTGAAAAGCATAAGTTCTCAAACTAAATAGCATTAAGCAATACATCATAAGAAAACAAGTACATGTACTTGTTTTTGAATGCCAGGTACTGAGGTATATGGGTGCTCGTGTCACCTAGTATGCAAAGAATTGCACTAATAATGCTCCTAGGGATTCATAAAAACTAGAGGAAATATTTCTTTCACTTCTAAGTGCTAGTAACAAACCCAACTATGTTTTCATTCCTGCTTTCCAACATGAAATTGTTCGAGTTCATTATGACCATTTCTAGACGTGAAAAGCTAAAGTTATTCTTTTTTTTTCAAAGTTGTTATATGATTAAGACCCATATTACAACAGATTACCGGAGTAGATACATGGTTAGGAAACTGTAAACGGACATATTTTCACCCCATCCCACATCAAAGACTCTTTTTGACTTGTTAAACAGATTTTATCTGTGTAGAACTCATCCTTCAATTCACGGGTGGAAATATATATTATCCTGCAGTTTTACAATAACTGGAACAAGGAAGTTATGCTCCATCACTCAATTATTTTGCAGCAAAACTAACAAGATTTTTAAATTCTTCTTTGTGAGTTTACTAGCCAACAAAGGATGATTTACCCAGTTTGAGTGGCCAACCCACCTCAAGTTACAACCAGTTACCTACTAATGGAGAAAGTATTCACCGCAAGCTGGTATCCGATTTTCACATCTTGATAAAGTGGGGGTATATATAAGATATACCCAGTCATGTTATGGGCATTTCTAGGCCAGACTTAAGATGAATCCTCGCGATATTGCAGCTATTTATATGATTACCTTTAACATCTAATGGGGCATTGATAACCTAAACATAGCTTTGAAAAATTACTTTAATTTGTATCGAAGATGTTGATGTTTTCTTTCCTAATGTGGCGATTGTAAACACAAATATGTGCCAAAATAGAATGTAACTGTAATACATACGTGTCCATCCACACATAAAACAGCTGTATTTTACCTGTGACTATCTCACAACCTAATTCTAAGAAAGGGTTATCTTATGTAACACAAAAGTTCTGTTTGATGTTCTTTCATGTAGCAAACCTACGCAAAAAGTGCTTACTGCCAGTTATGATGCTCATTAGTAAAGTCTGTTTAACAAGGATTGAGCTTTATACAGAACACATGTAAAATCCGTTTAGCAAGGGGTGGGCTTAAAACGGAGTTTCTATAAAATCTGTTTGCACAAAAAATGTGTTGTTGTTTTTTAGCAAGGGTGGGCTTAAAATTAAACTGTACACATGTACAGTCTGTCTGACAAGGGATCGGCTAAATTAAAAAAAAAAAAAAAAAAATGTTTAACAAAGGGTGAGCTTGTTAATGAACAACATGTGTATAAAAAGGGATACCAAAAGGGTGAGCTTAATTATTACCTATCAAGGGCTTATCACAGGTAAAATACAGATGTTTCATAAAAAATGTATATAAAATATTGGAAGCTACAAGTAGAACATGGTGGAGTTAAACTTATTTCGGTGCATGAGAATTTCTCTCTTTTGAGTTGTGATTCCATTTTAATCACTTTGTTGGTGTCTTCAGATGAGAAATTGAAAATACATAGCTCCCAATATCTGTTTCAGAATGCCAAATGGCATGATGGTGTCATCAAGTTTTGCAGGTGTTATCAATGTAAACACATGCATAGAATATAAGGTAAAATGTATAGGGAGACAAGTGTTTTTTCTACTATTTGTACATGTACGAAGAATATATCATCATATCGTGTCTGGTATATGGGAGAATTTGTAATGTGTTGTTAATTTTGAAAATTATGTATGTACTAGATGTCTTTTTGGAACATGGATCATTATCAGATATGTTGCTTTTAATGTCATATTCTGAACATTAAAATCATTTGTTGCATGATTTAGTTTTTGGGCAATTTTTAATCTCTTACGAGTGGCATTAATCTCCCCGCATTTGCATTTTAAAACCCTGCTAGCTTATTTATCTATCAGAGGGTCTTCATTTCCTTACGATCCATTTGCAAAGGTCGTGGAGGTACATACCATATATCTTGGGTGTATTATGACAAGGCTTGTAGCTTCATTTGTAGATCTTGACTCATTTGAGATGAAATATATCATCAGATTGGCAGAAGATTGATGCCATTTTATCCTTGATAAATATAGTACTTATTAATCTTGGTTATTATAATGAAGTTTCTCAAAAAGTTGGTATAGTAAAACATGTTTATAACGAATCCTATAAGACCTAAACAGTTAGTTTTTGACATTAAAACACATGTAACAAAACACAGGGATCTCTGGTGAGTTCTGCTGTACAGTTAAACATGTTTATAACAAAACACAGGGATCTCTGGTGAGTTCTGCTGTACAGTTAAACATGTTTATAACAAAACACAGGGATCTCTGGTGAGTTCTGCTGTACAGTTAAACATGTTTATAACAAAACACAGGGATCTCTGGTGAGTTCTGCTGTACAGTTAAACATGTTTATAACAAAACACAGGGATCTCTGGTGAGTTCTGCTGTACAGTTAAACATGTTTATAACAAAACACAGGGATCTCTGGTGAGTTCTGCTGTACAGTTAAACATGTTTATAACAAAACACAGGGATCTCTAGTGAGTTCTGCTGTACAATTAAACATGTTTATAACAAAACACAGGAATCTCTAGTGAGTTCCGCTGTACAGTTAAACATGTTTATAACAAAACGCAGGGATCTCTGGTGAATTCTGCTGTACAGTTAAACATGTTTATACCAAAACACAGGGATCTCTGGTGAGTTCTGCTGTACAGTTAAACATGTTTATAACAAAACCCAGGGCCCTCTTTAGTTCTTCTTAGTAAAACATGCTTATAACAAAACACAGGGACTTCTTTAGTTCTTTTTAGTAAAACATGTTTATAACAAAACACAGGGCCCTCTTTAGTTCCCCTTAGTAAAACATGTTTATAACAAAACACAGGGCCCTCTTTAGTTCTTCTTAGTAAAACATGCTTATAACAAAACACAGGGACTTCTTTAGTTCCCCTTAGTAAAACATGTTTATAACAAAACACAGGGACTTCTTTAATTCTTCTTAGTAAAACATGTTTATAACAAAACACAGGGACTTCTTTAATTCTTCTTAGTAAAACATGTTTATAACAAAACACAGGGACTTCTTTAGTTCTCCTTAGTAAAACATGTTTATAACAAAACACTGGGAAACATTTAGTTCTCCTTAGTAAAACATGTTTATAACAAAACACTGTGAAACATTTAGTTCTCCTTAGTAAAACATGTTTATAACAAAACACTGGGAAACATTTAGTTCTCCTTAGTAAAACATGTTTATAACAAAACACTGGGAAACATTTAGTTCTCCTTAGTAAAACATGTTTATAACAAAACACAGGGACTTCTTTAATTCTTCTTAGTAAAACATGTTTATAACAAAACACAGGGCCCTCTTTAGTTCTACTTAGTAAAACATGTTTATAACAAAACACTGTGAAACATTTAGTTCTCCTTAGTAAAACATGTTTATAACACAACACAGGGACTTCTTTAGTTCCCCTTAGTAAAACATGTTTATAACAAAACACAGGGACTTCTTTAGTTCTACTTAGTAACACATGTTTATA